ATACTTTTAATTAATAATTATTAGATTATTCTAAATTATTAATAATCTCTTATAATCCTCTATTTAATTTACTTTAAATTACTAGTAAGCCCTTATAAGCTATTTAGTATATATATATATTTATTTTATTAGCTAGAATACCCTTTTAGATAGTTATTAATATAATTATCTATATATCTATTATTACTAGTTCTATAATACTTATATATTAATAGTAACTTATATTATATAGCCTATAATAACCTAATTATACTATTTAAAATAATACTCTAATTAATTTAATTCTAATTTATCCTAGACTAGGTCTAGTATAAGTTACCTAACTATTATATTTTTATATAATAAAACTCTTATAAAAATTTTAAGTTTAAAGTTTTTATTTATTATATATAAGCTTTAAGCTAATATTTCTTAAGCTATAGTATACTTTACTGCAGCTCTTTTTCTCCTGTTCTATCTGGCTACCTACAGGGTTATCACCTTACTTACTTGAACCTAACCCTTGATATTCGCAAGGTACCTTAATAAAGTAGAAGGCTCTCTACTCTGTTGCAATGTTCAGAATGCACCATTCATTGTGGGCTTGTCAAGCCACTGGAAGGAAGTGATGAGAGACATAAGTCGGGTACATTCTCGACCTGTAAGTCGTCTTCCTGGTGCTTCTTCTTGTCCTTGATGGAATGCCAACTCATACTTAAAGACCCAATCAAAGCCATGACCGAGAGCCCACAGGAAAGGTAGAAGCATTTGCTCAATACATTCCCATAATGGCTCGTGACGACACCATCTTCCGCACACTGGTCGAGTCCGTTGATAACGGAAGGCTCTTCGGTCGGGGCAGGTCTTGAAATGCAATCTGCCATCTCGGAGGGCAAATGTGTCTTAAGGATCGTTTGAGCTGAGGCGACAAATACTGCGGGCCCCATTGCCTGAGCGAGTTGTATGATTGAAATGCCAATTTGCGCGTCATCATCAGACAAGATCGCCTGCACAGCTACTTGAGGACCTTGAAAGCCAATCCCCACGCTGGAGCCAAGGAGTGCTTGGTAGACTAGCAGCTTCCAAGTCTCGGGATATTTACTCACAGTCGTAAGTAATCCCGTTGCCACGGGGAGGAGAAGACCATTCAGAAGCATGAAAGGGTTGGGGTAACCGCAATGCGACGTCAGAGCTCCAGCCAAGGGGACAAAGAGCACGAGTCCGGCACCCGACGGCAGTACTAGTAGGCCTGAGGTAGTTGCAGAAACCCGATGGACAACTTGGAAGTACGTGGGCATCTGGGAACGTGTCAGCTGCATTAATGTGCAGAGACCTCTGCCGCGTGACTCACGTAGTATTCGATGATAGACAACGCTCCATTGTTGCAGGAAGCAAAGAGAAATCCACACAAAACGTTTCTCCTTTTCACAATTCGTGGGGGTAGGACGGCTTGATCCCCAAGCCGAGTCTGGAGCAGAGCAAATACAAGAAGAAGAACTAGGCAAAAGACCAAAGGCAATATTACTCGCCAGTCAGACCATTGATACTTGGTGCCACCCCACTGGAGGGCCAAGATTAATAGAGTGAAGGCTGGGACGAACAGGGCTGTGCCGTATATGTCAGCTTTTTCCGAGAGTCTGCGGAGGCTGAGGTCTCCTGTCAGTGTTTTGCCCGCTGGTACCTCCAAAAATATAACCATGATGAGAAATCCAGCTGTAAGAACTGGTATTTCTACAAGGAAACACCAACGCCAGCTCAGACTGTCAACCAAGACCCCTCCTAGAAGAGGAGCAGCAAGGGAAGCCATGGCTTCCGTAGCGGCTCCAATACTGGCATATGTTGGTCGGCGCCGTAAGTGACACAGTTGGATAATAATTCTGCATCTAAGTTGTAAGAGCACCATAATGATGTCTGGAAATTAGAAGATGGGGCACAAATCAACTCACGCAAAGACACCGGCTGTAACTCCAGCCGTCCCAAGGCCCACGATAGCCCTGCCAATAATAAATACAACAGAACTGGGAGCGGCAGCACTGATGGCAACTCCGGCGATGAATATCGCCAGACTGACCAGAACCAGTAGCTTGGGCGGCATGAGGCTGTAAAGTTTGCCGACCATGGGTTGGAAAGAGCCAGAGGTAATTCGACTAGAGGCTATTAATATCTCGATGCGACATATCAAGCTGGTCTCTTACTAGATTGACAGATACCACCCAATGTGTTCAGTCGTTCCAAAATGCCGAGTTATACTTGGAATTGCCACGGCTAGGATCGTACTGTCCTGCGTTGCGAATAGCATCAGTCTGTGGCTCTCGAGGATATACCACATTGCATGCCATACTCACCAAACCTATGACAACGAATATGAGACACACTCCAAGCATAACAATTCCGAATTTCGTCGCAGATAGTCTTGAAGTAATAACAGAGCCATGCCTGCTTCTGTCAACTGCTTGGTACGGGATCTGTAAAGTGCCTGGATTGTCGGCTTGCGTAGGTATACCGCTGACCATTCCAGGACTGCCCTTTTCATGTGTCTCGACCATTGTGGCACACCGTGGACACTTTCAACCCTTAGTTGTTACCAAATAAATGTTTGAGGTATCTACTTAGGCCTAGATAGAGATGCTTCCTACTTAGATGGCCTTGAATGATGCCAAGGCTAACTGGCATTTCGTAGGGCGCCGAATGGCACTTCTAAAAAGTCTGCCACTACCAACCCCTCAAGATGTTATTTGTTTTGATTCTGCACAGGGCGCCGAATGGCATGACCCAATTTTGACATAATCGTCTTTTTATTTGGGAAACTTATATCCATCTTGGTTCATCAGATATCCATCATCGTTAAGTAGCTGCTGCTTACCACTTTCCGCCATTATTCGCTCGAATGTAGGAGAGCATCACATACCTGCACACATAGTTGTCTGAACATGTCGTCTAAGATTACCACTCCGTTTGGGGAAGCGGTTCCGCCTGCACCTCGGCACTCAGTCACAGTCCATATGGGTGGGTGGGACACGGTCGAGAAATATGGCACAGACTCCTCTGCTGTTATCGCCCACTTCAAGAACGCGTATCCTCGCATGAGGCCTCATCGAGACATTGCCGACGTGAGTAACAACGACTGGACTAGTGCTATAATTGCCCTTAATTCTCACCGAGAATTGTCGGACATAGCTAACAAGTGACACATTCAAGCTTGCAACTGCCGTTCTTGATCTTGTTGCAACGCAAGACGCTGCCTGTATGCTCTTTTCCTCTCTTCAGTCCGCCACGGAATGCGTTGATTTTTCAACATCTGAAAAGAGAAGAGATGAGCACGGTAAGATGCCTGTGCCACAGGCGCAGATATCGATTCGTGTGTTCAGAGCCAAAGACACCTTCTTTGCCGTAGTGTTCCCAGAAGCTTTCAGCAAGGTCGTGTTTGGGTTCTGGAGCACACCCGGGGCTGGTATTTCTTCACGATTCGCAGAGGTCAACCTTCGGCACAGATATGTTTTGGAAGAGATATCTGCCTCAGACACAAGTCCCCAGCACACTCGCTTGATGTTCAATGGCAGCGTCCATAAAGCTCTCCGAGAGAGGATTGTCTGGTACGTCAATAGGGCGACTAGGACTTCAGATCGCTCTGCCAAACCGTCAGCCCAAGACGTCTATCTATACCCGACGGGCATGGCATCCATCTACAAGCCACACACCTACATGCTTGACCTTTACCAGGGGACCACGGTGCTCTTTGGCATGGCCTTTATGAACACCTTGACTGCTTTTCAGGAGTATGGCCCAGGACTTAAATTCTTCGGCCATGGCTCGGATAATGACCTCGACCAACTGGAGGATTTCTTACGGGATGAATACGCCCACGGTCGCAAAGTCCAGGCCATATGGGCCGAGTTTCCTGCCAATCCCCTTCTCGTCACTCCAGACATATCCCGACTCAGGGACCTGGCGGGCAAATATGATGTTGTCCTTGCGATTGACGATACTATTGGAAGCTGGGCCAACATTGACATCACTAGTTCCGCAGACATTCTAGTCACATCCCTAACGAAGTCATTCAATGGGTATGCAGATGCCATTGCGGGTTCTGCAATCCTCAACCCTGCATCGGCAAAGTACGCCCAACTGAAGCCTTTGTTCGATCGACACTACGTCCCAGAGCTTTACAATGCCGACGCCAAAGCCATTGAGCACAACAGCCGTGACTATCTGCCCCGGACAGCCAAGCTCAATGCGAATGCACTCGCCATCGTCCAGTATCTCCAGGCCTGCGCGGAAGATCCTGCCAGTGCTGTCCGCAGAGTTCACCACCCATGGGCCAATCCTTCACGGCGCCACTACGAGCGTGTCATGCGACAGGACGCGGAAGACTTCACACCTGGCTACGGCTGCTTGTTCAGTGTTGAGTTAGATAACATGGACGCAACGCAGGCGTTCTACGAGGGCCTGAATGTGCACAAGAGCGTCCATTTGGGGGCGCCATTTACACTTGCATTTGCCTACACCATGTGTACGTACAAGAAGGATTTGGCATGGGCTGCAGCAAACGGGTTGTTACCAACTCAAATCAGGATAAGCGCAGGGCTTGAGGATACAGAAGTACTGCTTGAGGATTTCAGAGTAGCTGTAGAGGCGGCAAATCGGTATAAGCAGCTTGCTGGCTTGTAGTTTGAAGCTTTCATCTTTGACAGCTCCTCTCTCTTTGAAATTGGAGCCCTCGACCGATAAATTCTTCTTAAATTTTGCTACAAGTGACCAAAATGTCTGTCTACGTAAATCTGGTGTACACGGAGGCAAGGTCCCAGTGAGGCATGGCTTTTAGGTTATCCACACGCGACGATGATCACTGTATTGAGATATCTGGCATCTTCTATTGCTGTTTTTATTTTAGGCTCGAACTCCCATCAGTATTACTGTACACTCGAACTCTCGCCGTATCTGTAGGCGATGTATGGCTAGGCTGAGCCAAGAGGATACGATACCACATCTTGATGGAAGTGGCATCTCGTAGGGCGCCAGGTGACACTAGACAAGGCGCACATTGGCAGTCCACCCACTAGAAAATGTGTCATCTCAGGTAACGCCCTAGAAAAATCTTCTGGTCAGCTCTAGAACCAGCGTTCACACTGGCCACCCTTTCACGAACATTCAAGGACTTTGCCCACCGGTGTTTAAGAAGGTATTAAAGGTCCTCGAAGAACACAATCTTCACTTTGCATTATTATTGCAAAATTAATTCCTGCTGTTTCGTCGTAATTCTTCAAGCCATGGCAACCCAGCAGCGTCTCTTGTCTCACTTTGCAGATCGGTACATGCCCCTTGCCCCTGTCCCCAGTCCTCTCCATGAGTTTGGCTAACCTGTAATGCGCATCGTCCGAGCAGCAATGGGAGTGAACGGCAAAATTCTGGTTGGGCAGAGTTATGGGACACGGATCAAAGCGATCTTTGGGATCGTGGCACTCCTTCTGCAGCTCTCATCGACTGGGTCGAATCACATCCAGATCAACTGCAATCACTCAGCGGCCTACACCGACCAAGGGCATTGGTGCCTGTACGTTGAGACCCTTTCATCATCTACATGGAGCCGGATTGCCTAGATGCTTGGCTAACTGTGAGACCAAAGGGGTGCGGCAAAGGATACGACGTGGCGATGCTTGCCTTGCATGGCTTCGACGTCGTCGGGCTCGAACTCTCCCCTCGTGGAGCCCAAGTAGCAACATCATACGCAGAAGCTGAGCTCGCTGAGCCCCACGACTACAACTTTGGCGAACAAAATGACACACCGGATGGTGGCATTGGCTCCGTGAACATCATCACTGCGGACTTTTTTGACAAAAGCTGGAGCCAGAACGAGGCTGAGTCCAGCGGTCAAAAGTTTGACCTGATATACGATTACACGGTGAGTGTTTCAAGATAATATCACTACTATACGAGCTTGGAGATGCAGTCGTACGCAACCACCGAACTTTTGTCTAATTAGCTGCGTTTATAGTTCCTATGCGCCCTTCATCCCGACATGCGCCAGAGCTGGGCGCAACGGATGCTCGAGTTATTGTCGCCGTCTGGCATTCTCATCTGCCTCGAATTCCCCCTATTCAAGGAACTGCATGAATTAGGCCCCCCGTGGCCGCTACAGGGAGTGTACTGGAATCTTCTTGCTCAAGGAGGCGATGGCAAAGTGGATGGGCATAATGGGGATATTTCTGACGACGCTCCTGTCTCGGCCATTGGCCCATTTGTAAGAACAAGTCGCTTCAAACCAGAGCGCTCATATCCGAATGGCAAGGGCACGGACATGGTGAGCATTTGGCGACGGAAATGATGTGGACGGGCAGGGGCTGTGTAATCTTATTATCGTAAACTGCGAGATAAATGCGCTACACATCAAATTCGGATTCAAAAAGTAGTCTCATGTCCAAGGGCATCTCGTCGTGATCGAAGCCACCCCCCGTAGACGCATACTCGAATGCTGTTAGTGAGGCAGGCATAGTGGCAGTTTCCAGTCCCGTGGCTCCTCCGACTTCTGGGAACAGCCCCAGACTATCATCTTTGCTTCTCTGACAAGCCGTGGTCGAATCGGGCTGCTGGCACAGTTGGCTGAACTCTGCCAGGCACTCTGGCGTCTGCCACGACCATGGCACCTGCATGTTCGAAGCCCCCCAATTTTCCGTGTTGAACCCATCGGGGAGGACGTCGAGATTGGATGGAAGCATTGCTTGGTTATGCCCGGCTGCTTGCTGTAGTTTTTGGAGCGTGAACGGGCCAAGAGTTGGACCAAGGCTGCTCGCGTTTGTATTCATCATCAGTTGCTGGTTGCTGTTCAGCTGTGTTGCTGAAGGGCTGTCCTGGAGTCCATAGCCTAATTTGAACATGGCCAGCCACTGCGCATTGTCTGCGGGTGTGTGATTTAATGGATCGTCATCATCGTATAAAATGAGACGAGCCTGGCGGCGCAAAGCCTCGTCGCTCAGGTCTAGACCATTCTCTCTCGCTATTCGAACGTAGTCACCGATCCGCGCGGTCAGCGATTCGAATGACGTCGGCGAAGGTTGGCAGGCATTCCCATCGTTCATGGCCGAGATCTTCTTAGTGGTGCCTCTCGAGGCGCTGAATGGCTCGGCGTCGGTGGACTCTAAACCGATGAGATATGGAGGCATGGCATTCTCCACGAGTAGGGCGACTGCTGGCTCCAAGCCCCTGCAGCCTTTCCAGTCGATCATCTGCGCTCCTTCGCGAAAGTGATCGCAGATGTGGTCATTGCGGTCAGGCCAGGACGTGAAGGTCTCCTCGCAAAATCCACACCTCGACTTGATGTTCACCTCTTTGAATCTCCATGTACTCATCCAGTCTCTCACTTCGGGGACGCCGTGAATGAGGCGAAGATGTTGGCGCAGGTGATCTTTACGAAAGAATGTCCGGGCCTCGGGTGGTTTGGCAATGCACTCGGCCGCACGATGTGAGTTCAAATGGGCTTGGTCAGGATCAAGCATGCCACAGAATGCGCAGTTTGCAGTATCATTTGCAGGATCACGGCGTAATGGCCCGAAGGGGAGGCACGTCCACTTTTCAAGAGCGAGGTGAAGTGTGCCTTCGTGTCGAGTCCATTCATATCTTGTTTTGAATCTGTCCGTGCAAAAAGTGCACTGGTATAGTCGCTCCTCCTTGGTTGCCTTCCCAGCACGACGACGCGTGGATCTTGTTGTCTGATGTCGCTTTCGCCCCCGTGAGCGGCCACCTAGACTGTACAGACTACCGGTCAGATCGAAGGAACCGTGAGAGTACGCCGAAGAGCCGCTAGAGGCGTTTGAGCTGGAGAAGTCGAAAGACCCGAGCGACGAAGCAGAATCAACGGATTCAATCCAGGCGGCAGCGTCATTATTGGTCTTCGAGATGTCTACACTATCTTGGGCGGCCTGGGCAATGGCTTGCAAAGGGACATGATCATCCTCGGGTGGGCTATGCCTCCAGCGATCGAAGGGGGTCATATCGCGATGTGGACTGTCATGCGAGCGGTTTGAACCTCCACGCTTGGATTGGATGCTCGTAGGAGCCGATCGCGAAATGGGGGATGGGTGCGGCGACTTGATCGCGGAGTCTTCATTCGACAGTTTGTCTCCATGACGTCTCCGGGCATTTACGAACCAGTGGGAGATTTGTCTGACAGTCATGCCGGTCTGGGAGCTGAGTGTGTCCTTCTCGTCTTGGCTTGGGTATGGCCAGGAAGAGTGTGAAATGAACCAGGCCTTGAGAACCTTGGTGGAAGAGCGGCTGTGCCGGACCACTGGTCTCTGGAACTTGGCTGTACCATCCTGTATATCGCGTTCCATCAAGAGCTCGTGATTTGATGTGGGTGGCGGGTATTGGGATGATGCAAGGTCAATGTTTTGTGTTGGATTGGTGAGGTTGGAGGGGAAAATTCCTGAACGACATCTCCAACTTTTATCAGACAAGGTTTGTAAGCTACCTAGGTACGTACCAATCAGAAGGGACCTATCTGAGGTGGACAAAATAAGTCAGGCAAAGGCACATATCTGGCTACTAATGCTAGTATAAGCCCAAGAGCAAGTGTTGTACGTGGGTTCTTTGACTGGAATCTGCCGTCTTCTACGCCGAGACCACCCCAAACCACCCAAGTCCCATGATTGCACCAAGGCAAATGCAGAGGGGGGGTGGAATACGAAAATACCGCCCGCCGACAAAAGCAGTTCCAGCCACAACCAGCCACCAAGGGTCGTTACCCAAAGACTTGCCCGACTCGTCGTTCGCCTCCAAAAGACCAATTTGCCAAATTCGATATACAGCAGTGAAAATGAACCCCACAGCAGAAGTGCTCACCCCTCTGACCAGCGATTTGACCCAAGGTCTGTTGCGTAGGGCAGGCCAGATGCCCATGGTTCCATGCACCAAGACCATTCCTGGAGTGAAGATGGCCACAAACCCCACGGCTGCTCCAACGATGGAAGGCGTGGCATTATTGACTGCAGTCAAACTGCCCAAAAACACAGCGAAGTTGAAGTTTGGACCTGGGAATGCCTGGATGACAGCCAAGCCTATCAAGAAGTCTCGCGGCGGAACCCACCCTTCGGCAACAATGTACTCTCTCAGCAAAGGGATGACAACAGGGCCCCCGCCAAAGATTATTGTTCCAGCCAGCCAGAGGTTCGAGAACATTCTATAGAGCACGGGTGGTTCGGAGAGAACCGCTCGCAGTACCATGATAACTACGAAGGCAACAACGAAAGAACTGATGACTATGGCGCTGGATCTCCACCGGAGTGTCAGAGGATAATCTCGAGGTATTACCCTTACCTCGTTGCGTGTGCCCACCGACGAAGTGTCGGCATTGGTTGGCAAGATACCGCCGTTCGCCATAGTAGCTTGTTGAGATAACTGAGTTTGAGATTCCTGCACTGTCTGAGAATCGCGAACTTGGTCCGAAGGATGATCCAATCGAGCCCTGATGGCCTGGCGGGCTTTTCGAAGCACCTTGTGAATGATTTTCAAGTCATACAGAAGCGTAGCACTGCCACTGATGACCATCAAGACAGGGAGATACCAGATTGCGCTGTAAAGGAGGGCTGCAAAAGCACTGAAGCTCAAAATAATCCTTGTCAGGCGGTCCGTCACTGCCTTCTCCGAGAGCTCTATAGCTGCAAGAGCAATGACGCCTGTGGTGGCAGCATTTAGCCCGGATAGCAAGGGATATACGGGATCGGGTAGGGTGTCTTGAATAGCCGCGATACCCAAAGACAGTCCGTACATTCCGACAGCTCCTGGAATGCTGCACAGACTTGTGTCAATTGAAAAGCAAAAACTGAGATGTGGAACTACGCCAAGCAGCTGCCTACGTACCTCCAGTAGAAAAAGGCAAGAATGCTAGCCAAAAGTCCATCATGCATCTGAACAATGCAAAACAACATTTTGGTGCTGGCAGGTCCCGGCAACGCCTGAGATATACTGAAGAACTCTTGGTACTGCTCGAAGAATTAGTGGTGAGCTAATGGTCAAGGTAACAGGTTGTGATACATACCATTTGTTCATCAATCCATTGCAATTTCTGGACAAAAAGGGTATGAAACTGCACAAGCGTTAGCTCCTCATTTCCAGTGTGTACGTATACTAATCGGACTTGGTTGTCATACAATTCGAAAATGAACTGGAGGGCCACCAAAGCAGGTCAGACCGAGATGCCAAGTGGCAATGGTTGCGTCTTTCAGACGATTTGTCAAAGGGCTAATCTGAGGCATCTTGTTCAAGTTGATAAGGTAAGACAGACAAGCAGTGTACTTCGTAGATTGAGAAAGCTGGGTAACCAAAACTACATGAGATGCAGACCTGCAAAGATGGTGAGAGCATACAGAGATGAACCATGGTTTTTATTTGTGTACTTCTATCCTCTTTGGATCCTTGTATGATCTGAACGAACCCATGTTAATCATTCCCTTTGCTATCGCGAAGTAAGGTCGATTGATGATATTGTTCGAGTTCACGGCATTGCACCATGTTCTGCCAGACCTGGAAATCCAAAGACGACAATGACAACTGAATCAACATGGGCGGATGCAGTCATTTACGTGCCGCCGGATGGTATGGGAATGCCATTCCACGCCCTAGACAACACTAGGGCGGCGGAATTGGTTTAGAGATGAAGTGTCATTCAACGCCCTATGACACCAGTGGATCAAAAGACACGCTGGTACGTAATAAATGGCGGTAGTCGGTGTAGAATATAGGGGGGAATTTTACTCGGCAGGGCGGCACTCGGACTTTACCTTTTGAAATAAATATCGATATTCATCAATGATCGTTGACTGATCCAAGAATAAGAACATCTCGGTTAACATCCTATAACTCACCCTTGGCTCTGTTTCATTCTCCGTATCATCCCCTGCACTAAATAAACATGGCACCCCCGACTGTACATTGGACTGAAGCATATCCTGTCCCATCGACCAAGACACCACCTGTTATTTCACGAGAGGAGCTCTTGCAGTGGATTCAGGACGGAAAGGCAGCTGGAAAGGACTACCTCGTCGTTGATCTGAGACGGGATGACCATACCGTAAGTTGAAGGACTCGGGAACCTCAAGCGCGAATGCTCAACAGATTTAAGGGAGGATTTCTTCGTGGCTCCCTCAATCTGCCGATTGAAAGCCTGTACCCTGCCTTGCCAACAGTCTACAACATTGCAAAGGCCAGTGGTATAAAGACCGTCATATGGTATTGTGGTAAGTATTCAAGCAATCTGCCGCCAAATTGATTTATCCGATGGTATTCTCACATGCCACAGTCACCTCCCGAGGGCGCGGGTATCGTGCCGCCGCTTGGTTTGGAGATTTTCTCGCCAGTAAAGGCGAGTCTGAGATCAAGAGTGTTGCCCTCTTTGAAGGAATTCTGGGGTGGGCCTTGGCCGGAGACAAGTACACTGCACACATTGATGAATTTGATCCTCAGGCTTGGCAGAAAGACGATGCCTCGAAACATACTGGACAGCTCAGATAGGATAGTAAGAATTGGAGATGTGATCTTGGATATCGAAGAGATGCTGTAGGTACAATGTCCAACATACTTGATACATTCACCACAAAAAATGCCTCTCCCAAAATTCACTTGGCGTTGCACCAAACGAGATCCCCATGACAAAACACTTAACCCTTAGAAAGTAAACACAGCAGGTTCAGGAATAGGAACAATACCTTGTATGCGCATGGTAGGCTGACGGTGAAGGAGTCTTGGCTCCAGTGACCCAACGACATTGTGCTGGACACATTGCTGGTAGAATAAGGCACTACGGTAGCTTCCGGCGCTGTGAAAACCCAGCATCTCAACGCGAAGCAAGTACTGTCCTACCGTGATGCACTTGGGAATCGTCATTGCGTGGCGAGCCGTGCCGTCGAAGACACGCTCAGTGCCCCATTTGCCGGCAGATGTCAGGCCGTTGGACTGGATCTTATACCAACCGCCTCCTACACCAAGTTGGTGGCAGTGTTAGTGGGTACGCCTAGGGAGGTTCTTGTTGGTTTGAGTTCACATTGTGGTTGACGTTATCACCAGTCGTCCTAAGCATGTAGCGCCAGGGAGCAATGACGGGCCAAGCCAACGCAACCCCATATTTCAGTTTATGCAAGGTAGACAGACATACAGCAAGTGTGCCGTTCGTAGCACAGCGGTTCAAGGGCCCAGCTCACTAATGGAGTGATTTTTTATTAAAAGGGGGTCATGATATGGCCTAAGGAGTCCCATACACGCTAATTTGACGCCGGCAGTTGCTATGGCGAACTTTTTTGGCCCAATGGCGTGATAAGAATCGACGGATTAATCTACAGCTTTTCTCCGTTGACGGAGGACACTCTAACCTCCGCATAGAGATCTTCCACGATGCCTTCGCGCACGGAAGTTGCGAAACACAACTCGAAAAACTCATGCTGGGTCGTCATTTCTGGCATCGTCTACGACGTTACCAAGCTGATTGACCAGCATCCTGGAGGCGCAAACGCGATTCTCGCGCTGGCCGGTAAAGACGCAACTGAAGATTTTGACCTTTTCCATTCGTCAGACACGATCAAGAGTAGGCCTAAACAAGGTTAGCAGGACATAATGCCCCGTTAGGCGAGTTGAATTGTCCGGATGGAATCTAACAAGCGTAACATGAAGTCATTGAGATAGGACCTATTGCTGCCGGCGGCGGCTCATCACAGCCACCTCCGTCGCCAGTGGCATCTTTCATAGCAGCAGAGACGTCAGACTCCCGAGAAACGTCGTTAAAGATGAGTGCAAAGCTTCCACTCGTTGCGTGTAGATCTCTGCAGGACTTTGAAAATACCGCTCTCCAGCTACTGCCGGAGAGAAGCCGTGTGTATTTCCATACCGGATCAGAAACAAGATCTGCATTTGACAACAACCGGGCTGACTGGGCCCGCCTCACCTTCCGGCCGCGTGTTCTCCGAGATTCGTCCAAGCTCTCTATGAGAGAGCAAATTATGGGCGTTCATAGTACCCTGCCCATCTTCATCGCTCCCACAGCTTCTGCGCAACTCGGCAATCCGGACGGCGAGCTTTGTTTCACTCGGGCTGCTGCGCGTATGGGAATCCCGCAAGGACTCAGCACGTATGCCTCTAAGTCTCCGAAGGAGGTGGCTGAATGTTTTCAGAATGACCCAGAAAGGCGTGGCGGTGCTTTATTCTACCAACTCTATGTGCCGAAAACGAAGGGCAATGCTAAGCGTATGCTAGCCGAGGCAAAGTCTTTGGGTTACAAGGCTCTCCTACTCACTGTTGATAACCCCGTTCTCGGCAAGAGGGACGAGAATGATCAATACAAAGAACTTGCTGCGCTGGGACCTGACGACGAAAAGCGGCCATACGCCACGCCCCCTCTCCCCGGTGAAGAGCCAGACGTCCCGCGGGCTATCCATGATCCCACACTTTCTTGGGATGACTTGCCGTGGATTCGGAAAGCGTGGGGAAATGGACCTTTAATTCTAAAGGGTATCCAATGCGTTGAAGATGCAGTGGAAGCATTGCGCCACGGTGTTGACGGCATATATATTAGCAACCACGGAGGAAGACAGCTAGATTACGCACCAAGCGCGGTAGAAGTACTGCTTGAGATTCGCCAAAATGCTCCTCAGGTCTTCGAAAAACTCGATGTCTACGTTGATGGCGGCATCATGAGGGGCACGGACGTGGTCAAGGCGATTTGCCTAGGAGCGAAAGCAGTCGGCATAGGGCGTGGCTTCCTGTATGCTCTGTGTTCCCACGGTACTGACGGTGTTGTTCGAGCCATCGAAAGTAAGTAAAAGTCTTCCATTTATTCCTATGTATACATTGCTAATGTTTCTGTACAAAGTCATGAGCGAAGAAATTCAAACCACAATGCGGCTTCTTGGAGTCACGGATTTATCGCAGCTAAACTTATCGTTCCTGAATTTTAGCCGATTCTCGCAGGCAAAGGATATCAGGTTATTTTCATCCAAACTTTGATTAGACACTTAGACCAGCCTTTTTAGATTCAAATAGACATTGTGATTTAGCAACTGATCAAGGGTTCAGCGCAAGAAAGCGTAAGCTGTATTATAAGATCGTAGCCTTTACTCAAGGCTTACTCTCGCAATGGTGCGGCACTACTATGGGATGTCAGCCAGTATGTACTCCATCAACGGTCCTGTGAGACCCTCATCAAGGCCTAGTGCCGTCAACTGTCCAATTTGGCTAAGAATGTTTCCTTCTTTGTTGAAAATCTTCCCAACTTTTTCTTTGAGGCCCATGTCTATCTGGACGTCTAGAATGTAATCAGAAATCCTTTCCGAGGCAGTTACATCATGCAAAGCGGGCTGAGCGCCTATATCAATAACAATCTCGCCGCTATCATCAGACAGCGTTGGAAGCTCTACAACTAAGCTAGGGGCCGCTGGGTATGTGTCAACGGCTACATTGACATCCGCCAAACTCTGGCCGCCAGCCGAGACTGAGAGCTGTTCTGGGACTGATGTCAGACCCAAAAACTTGACTCTCCATTGTTTGGATGAAGGTGCAAATCTGAGCTGCCCCTCGGCTTGCACGTAGCTTATCTTAATTTCTCGGAGACCAACTGAATTACGTGATGCGAGCTCGTCATCTTGAACTTCCTCGCGAATTGTGAACTCGCCATCTTCGCCGACGAGTACCAGAAGCTCCAGTCCTGATGGATTCAGTCCTCCGTTCTTTGGTTTTAGCGCCATGTCCAGAGGGATAATGGCCCCCAGAGGTGCCAACACGGGATACTCATGAATTTTGCGATGCATCCGAATCGTTTTGTTGCCTTGATAAATCATCCCGTTGAAGATGTCTATCCAGCGACCACGAGGAATCCATACGTCGACCGCGCCCGTATTTGTCCTCCTATCTCGCGGCTTAACAATCGGTGCAACAAGCAAGCTCGAGCCGAAGTAATATTGGTTGGGCTGGCCATAGGCTTCCTCCTGCTCAGGGTGCTTCCAGTACATGGGCTGGACCAGGGGCTCATTGTCAAATGCGGACAATGCATTCATCGTATGAAGATACGGAATGAGCCTGTGTCGGAATTGCAAGAACTTCTCCATGACTTGCTTGTACTCCTCTCGGAAGAGCCATGGCTCCTTCGAACCCCATGGATTCGCAGACGAGTGCAGCCGCATAATGGGCGAGAAGACTCCATATTGAACCCACCGAGTGGCCAGCTCGTCATCACGGTAGCCACCCATATGGCCACCAATATCGTGGCTCCACCAGCCATATCCAATGTTCGACGCCGTAGCTGTAAACTCGGGCTGGAACTGGAGGGATTCCCACGTCATGATGGTGTCGCCAGAAAATCCGACGGGATAGCGATGGCTTCCGGGACCACCGAACCTAGAAAAGATGATGGCTCTACCGTCTTCTCCCTGTTGCTGCGCATGGTCCAAGAAATGAAAGTGGTTCAACAGCCATAGAGGGTCCAAGCCTGGGATTCGTGAATATGGCCCTTGTTGCCAGTCGATCCACCAAAAATCACATCCTTCCTTCTCCAGCTGGCGGTGTAGAGTGTTCAGGTATGCATGCATAAATTTAGGGGACGTAGGATCGAACAGCATAGGGGCACCACTCGAGGTGTCATGCCCAATCTCCTTCGCCATAGCTTCATACATATCCTCGTGTCGGTGAATGCCTGCATGCGGGTGGTCGTTGAGAGTGATCTTGAGTTTTTTATCATGTAGCGCCTTGGTAAACCCGAGGGGATCAGGGAAAAGCTCTTTGTTCCAGCTATAGCCTGTCCACCCAGCATGTGGTATATGGTCGCCACTGACCTGATGCCAGTCCATGTCGATGACAGCCACAGACAGTGGGACCTCTTGTTTCTCAAATTTCCCCATCAGCTCCAGGTACTCTTTGTCCGTGTAGGCATAGTATCTACTCCACCAGTTCCCTAAGGCCCAACGAGGCAGCAGGGGCTGCTTTCCGGAGATGGCAAAAAATGAGCTCATTGCGCGTTTGAAGTCTCGCCCGTAGCAGAAGAGGTACCCATCGATTCGGTCACCCGGTCTGCGGGGAGATGCAAAGCCATTTGAGTCGAAGAGCATGGACCGGCTGTCGTCGAGCACAGAGTATCCAGCTTTCGATAGAATCCCAGTCTCGAGGTCACATCGCCCATCGACGTTGTCAAGTGTTCTCGCTGTACCTCCCAAGTTTTCCGAGGTCGACTCGCCGTAGCGCCAGTCGGCACCCCAAAGGGTGTTTTTATCGCTGAAGCTGATGATGAACCCGTAGCGGTCGAACCTCTTCTTGTTGTATGTGACGTGGAAGGTGCTTGTCCTAATTTCCAGATAGTCCCCGGTGTCGTTAGTTGTAAACTCTGGGGATGGAAATCGTCGATTGATCGCGAATGTTGAGGGCCTATCTTCAAAGACTCCGTCTTCAGCCCATTCATATCGAAGAACAACATCATTGATCAAGGTGAACCTGTATTGAGGTCCCTTGACCATTGATGAAGACTCTCCAACAGGGTCGCTAAGAAGTGAATACTTCTCCATAGTTGAGGTAGATATATTATACTGACAATAACTCGAAAATTGAGTATGAACGAAACCGATCGGGCTATTAAGCGTTCAAAGGCAGACTCTAAACACCAAAAAATGCGACTTTTTTTGTTGGCTGTTGACAAAGTTTGAACAGAGAAGAGTTGATTCAATAGCCCCGCATTCAAAAAGCGTCTTGATGACGACATGGACTTCCTGAGCGCAGAATTATGCATGGTAATGCACAGTAATGCATGGAGCCAACCAGTTGCGCCGCTTAAAATACTGGAGGCGTTCTATCGTCCCTAGCGAGCCATCCGGCCAAATAGGCAGATAATGATAACAGGGTTAAACTATCTCCATCTCGATCAATTCGCGCGGCTGCAGCTACCGCCCTCCGCGGCTGGCCAATATCTTGATATGGATGATTTGGTCTAGATAGGAGCACATGGCCAGGGACAGTCAATATGCTGCTCCTTCAAACTTGGCGAACTTCTGTAAACATGCGCTTCAAGTGTACATATATATCCATGAGCCAAGCTACTGCACATTGCGACCGCCCTGATCGTATGCACGTTGACTCTCATCGCCGTGACAGCAAACGATCTACGTAGCATGAAGAGTCTAGTAGTTCATCTTCATTTTTGTTTACACTTTGGAAGCAAGTATAATCATAGCCGAATCCAATCTCTACAGAAATTACAGGGACACCTATCAACAAATGCTACTACAGTTGCGGCCAAAATAACCCTACTTCTTCTATGACATGCGAGAAAGAGGGATGTGGAAAGCCAAAAAAAAAAAAAAAAAAAAAAAAAAAAAAAAAAAAAAAAGACACTGTAGAGTACTGCAACCTATTTCTATCCAGTGTTCTCACATCACGAGTCTCGGTGTCTTTAGAAAATGAGGGCAATATAAGATGGCAGAGTTCTCACTTGAATAACAACCTTTTCAACAAAGCAGTCAATTTTTTTATATCAGCTTTGATTATATGGCAATTAACAACCGTCTTTACTGTTGTGAAGCGTAACGCTTTTTAAACCACTCCGTCCATGTATCCGAGACGTCCGGAAATCCCCCTCTCTTAAATTCTTGGTGTGCCCGTTGTCTCCAATCGTCCTCTGACATTCCAGATACATCTCCCGATTCAAGGTCTAGTCCCCAACCAATAGTGAATTTAGTGCTAATCCATTCCCATGGAACAAAGCCTGCCATTTCCCAGTCAATGATCCCCACCAAATGCTTCTCTCGTGGACCAACCATAATATTGCCAGGCGCTAGATCATTATGAGAGAAGTAAAATATGGTGGATGGAGAAATTTACATGCCAAGTCGCGTGCAGTTCTCTAGCAGAGTCTCTGGTCGAAAGTTGTAGGTGAAGGGTTCCAGCCAGCTATCACATAAGTGGGAGTTATCCACTCCTCCTATTCGTGTAGATGATCCATGAGATGATAATTGAGTGCATATCTCAGCAACCTTCTGAACGTAGTATTGCCTATAGTCGTCGTTCATCAATGGCCAAGCACGGTTTAACGTGATACCGGGTAAACGCGTTGCAAATAGGTAGCTCCGATTCCCATCTTCCGAGTAGTGCAAGACTCGAGGTATCGCTAAACTTCAGGTTCTGGTTTGCCAACCAGTCCAGTGTCACATTCTCTCTTGTGCCGCCTTTTCGTGTTTGTAACAGCTTAATCTTTCAGGACGGCATCGTCAAATGCCCAGACTGCAGAGACATTGACACAGTTGTGTATAAGATGAGGATAACTGTCCCAGGGGATCGCAATGGCAGGAGGGAGAGGCGATATATTATCTACGAGAGAATAACAATTGCCATGGCGATCCTTCCACAATGGCTTTTCAGCAAATATGGTCCGGCGCAGAATGAACCTATTCCCGATAAGCCATGAGTTGTCATCTATTTTCTTGACAAAGCCACTGAGAGAATCAGACATATTCAAGGAATAAAATGGCGTGTCCTTGATTAATCGATTTTTGAAGAGAGTAGATTTGTGAAAGAAAAAAGAATACAAATCTGAGACAAATCCTTAGGGCATGTGACTACCTTCGTTCCATCACGTGGCGCCGCTGTACCTACTTTTGGCTTTGTCATGATATTGGAAACGGACCAAAACCTGCTCCTTATTCAGTCAACAATAACACGAAATCCTGCCTCGCCTGTATCGACCTTGAAGGCGTTAGAAACGTCGGCTACATCAGTATTTCTTAGAAACTGCACCTGTGTATAAGCTTTGCCATTCGCAAACCCCTTTTAATGTAGAGACATTATGTTATCGGCGCTATTGCGGCAGTAGTCCGAGGACAAGTCGTATGTTGCCCAAATTCGGCCAAACAATTGTTGCGATATTTCTACCTACAGTGCTTGTACTATGGTAGTGCGAGAACAATGGCTAAAAATTGTGCACAAATAACACTGCTTAATTATGAACTAGCAACACAGCGAACGGAAAGAGAGAAGAGCTAAAAACTCCCTGGCAAACGTGGGTTTGCACAGCCCCATTGTCTCGTATTGGCCAACCAAGTTGATCCATGCCATATAGGGCGATGGGTTGCACGTCCACGGACCAAGAGAATTCTGCCATCTGGCTGGTCAAATGGTTCAGGTTATGCAGCGGTAACCTGTTATGCAAAACTATGGGTCGTTACAAAGGTGATGCGTGTACATTCACCCCAGCCCAGGCCAGTTGTACACTGTTTCATGTTCGGAGTGGGCATACATAAATACACTGATCGCCCCCTCATTTACCCCTGAGAGGATCGCCATCACTCTTGAGCAAAGCTCTGGTCTTTTCTTCGACGCTATATTCTGTTTGCTTCTGTTCTCTTTAGCTCAAGCGAAAGTATTCATCACTCGATAATCCCACACTGACAACCCACCCCACCGTCATGGCAGACACCAGCGAGTATGACAAGGCTCTCGAGCAATTGCGGTGCTTCGACACCATGTTTCTGGTCGATGACTCGGCTCACATGGAGCCGTACTGGGAGGACGTGAAGAACCTGATGGAGATGGTAGCACCCATCTGCGCCAAGCACGACCCCGACGGCATCGATCTCTACTTTGTCAATCACCGCCCCGGAGGCCTCCTGGCCAAGGTGCCCGGCTTCCAGTCCATCCGCAAGTCGGGATACCCGCACATTGGCGGGTTTGTCGGTAACATGCTGCTGACCAGCAAGGGCAAGCAAATCGGCCAAATCTTTGATGAGATCAAGCCCGCCGGCAAGTGCAACATGGGCGCCAGGATCGGGGGCCTACTCAAATGGTACTGCGAGAAGTTCCAGGCAGGCGAGGAGCGTGCAGCCCTCAATTTGGTGGTGTTGACTGCTGGAGAGTTTGACGACGATATCAAGAAGCCGCTCATCACGGCAGCCCGAACCCTCGATGAGGCAAAGGCACCGTCGCATCAGGCTGGTGTGCAGCTGTTCCGCCTGGGCGCACCTCATGTTGAGCGACAGAACACGCTTAAGCACTTGGACGATGAGCTGCACAAGGAGGCTGGAACGAGGGATATCGTTGATACCGTGTCGTGGAACGGGCACGGTCTGGAGATGTCCAACGAGCAGCTGCTCAAGGTCGTTCTTGGAGCAGTCTCAAAGAAGCTTGATGTGCGGGCGTCGGAGCTGCACTTGGATAATTCCACCGCTGCCCTCCGAGCTGAATGAACGGCCAAAGGAAGATTAAATATCTGGAAATGTCAAACGGAGAGTTTGAGTTAGATTGGACTTGAAGTAGTTCTTAAACAAATGAAATGAAATGAATCGATGAGTGTCCTTTAGTGTCTTCAAGAGATCTTTGTGATATCAGTGACCTGATGATGTTTTATATTTGCCTGCCTTATCAAAGGACTTGATCCTCATGTGAGAGGATGCCCAGGTACTAGATTAATCTAGAACATTGATCGGTCCCGCGTAGTTCCTATCTACGCCCAATCATTTGTATTTGCCGTCGACATTACGCGTTAATAACGCTCTCAATAGCCGACGTGAGGATAACAGCCATCTTCTCATGCTCCTCTGCTACGGGGTGATAGTCACATGCCACAACAGACCCTTGGCTGGGAAACTCAACAAAGTGCACCTTGTTGCCAATCTTGTCGACAACCGACTTGATAGCATCCGCATGAGTGGTATGTTGCAGGTCACCCTCGGGCCAAGAATCACCTAGCATCGGAGAGGATGTCAAGAAGAGTTCAGCCTGAGGATAGTGCCCTTGAATAACCTGCACGAATTCAACCATCGCCTCGGTAAATGTTTCGACGTTGAGACGATCGCGTACACCAAGGTATGAAAAGTCATTGGTTCCCAAATTTATGACCACAATATCGGGAGTATCGCTTTCCGGAAAGGTGTAGCTGTTATCAGCGTCGTGAGCACCGTAGCGAGTCCAGCGCTGCGACATGTTGGGGTAGTCGTCTGAACCCATATAGTTCCGGGTCAGCCCGATCCCAGACCAAGCAATGATGTCGTATTCTGCAGAGATGTTCTTGGCGGTTAATGCTCCATAGGTCTTGGGCGCATTCTCAAGAGCGGCCGTGTTTGTGCATGGGAACGTGCCATCTAGGCCATAACCAACGGTGATGGAGTCACCGATGATTTGAATCCGTTTGCCGGGGACTGTGTCAGAACCAAGCTCCCCACCCGTTACGGTCACCTCTCCCACGGTAAGTGTGCCAAAACCGGCCTCGGATCTCTTTCGTATGTTCACTGTGTGCTGGCCTTGTTCAAGTGCAGGTGTATCGATACTGGTTCCACTAACATTGTCAATGATGGTTGGAACCCCGTCATCAACCACCACCTGGACACTGTTGTCGCCAGATACCGAAGAAAGAGCCACACTAGCAGAAGTCCCAGTAAAAGTGAATGATACACCAGTGCCAGGCCACGTTAACTCCTTTTTCTCAGGGTCAACTCGACCCAGAAACCGGACCGCCTGGCAGGTGGTCAGGGTGGCAACAACAGAGAACAAAGTAAAGAGACGAACCATCTTGGGCAGAGAAATAAGCGCTACGTACAACAGATCTCATCATCTCGGCTGTTTCCGTAGCCTTACGACCCTAAATATATACGCTCCTCTATGAGAATTACCAAAAAAGCCTATTGGCACATTTTATCCTCCAATGAAAATAATAGGGTTATATTCGGAGGTCCGGGACAACCGCCGCGGAAGTGAGACTCCGCTTCCGTTTACAGTCACGGCAGTTCGGGATCACGGTAACTTGATTTCTGCACACGATTGGAGAATATGATGAAATAGAGGTCTTATCTGAAGTAATGGCCTACATGACAAGTCTTGACATCCCGAACCCATAACAGAGAACAGTCCCTCGTACATATCTCCACCGCGCAATGAGCAGCCCTGATCCGCCTCTGATTAAATGGCTATCAGTTAGATGCTTGCCGCAACCCGGTTTATCGTGGGCTGATAGGGCTATCCCCTCTTCAAAAATGCTAGGGTCAATTGTGATATCTTCTCAGGCTGGTCCTCCGGCGAGAAATGCCCACAATCCTCCAAGATGGTCAGATCCGAGCCTGGAATTGCCTCGTGCAATTTATGCGCCCAGTCGGTCACTTGCCATGCATCTTGAGCACCCCATATCAATTGAACTGGTAATTTGCCCAGTTCTGGAAGCTTCTCTGCAATCTCCATCGTGTGTTTAGGATCATAGTGCCGAATCTGGTGTTGAAAGAGACTGGGTTGGCCCACAGGACCGGAAATGTAGTCCAGATATGTGTCCAGACTCGATCCAGTAAACTTTTCCTTGTCATGAACAGCAGACAGAAGCCACTCCCTAAAATGGGCTCGGTGCTCTTGGTCGGGCAATTTGATAAGAGTTTCAAGGCCCCGCTGCATCTGTTCCCGTGTTCTCTTTGAAGGGTAGCTGTCAAACGACACCACATCAATGAGTGTCAGTGAGCGCACTCGTTGGGGAGAGAAAACGGCAAATCTCTGGGCCACACCACCACCTATGTCGTGGGCTACGAAATGGGCAGTTTCCAGGTCCCAGTGCTTGAGCAGGCCCTCCAAAATGGTAACCTGGCCTGAGATGGATGGGTCGATGGCTGGGTCCCATGGCCGCTCAGAAAGCCCGTAGCCGAGTAAATCGAATAGATGTACTTGGTACCCATTTGAGGTTAATTGAGGCAGAACATTACGCCAGATGAGGGAGGAAGAGGGCGTGCCATGGAGAAGGATAACTGGTTCGCCTTGGCCATGCACGCCATGGGCGATTCTCGTGTTGTTGATGAGAACATGATCCGTTACTAAGGGCTCCATTTTTTTCAAGACAAATTGTGTTTTAACAAATATAGAATTAGAAGGTGTCCCTCTTCTGTAGCTGAAGCAGCTGTGTGATCTTTTATATTGGTTGCGGGAAATCTAGCACATTTGTCAGCGCAAGTCAAGTATAGGGCGCAAGAGGGGTTGTCCAAACTGCACCACACACGGTCTTATCGTAAGAGACATAGGGATGGATAGATAGGCTTGCAGGTTTGAGTCTTTGAGCTTGACACAATATTTCACCATAGTACGTTGCTCTGTACATTAGCCAACCGGCGGTAGACTGAAGAATCATGAAACTCTTTGTTAGTAGAGCATGTTGATACTTGAGACAAATTTGAAGAAAGTCAGAGACAAGAATATTCTTCATAATCACCAAGATCTCCCTCCGGGATTCATGAAGTTGATTTAAACTGTCATCAATGCGAGATTGCGAAGATGGATAATCTCCTTCCTCATGAAGTCTGGAATACGTTAGTAATAAACATTTAACTAGGCCAACGCATCCAAGGGCTACAACTTCACTAAGATCAATCCATCAAATTGCCTTAATATTTGACTATACGAGTAAACTATTGATCGAAATCATACACACGTAAAGGTATTACTTCCAAGCCGACGAAGAAACACGGCGTAATGAAAAATGAAGTGTAGGGTAAGCATCTCCATTATGAGGCCATCACATGAAACATCTTGAATCGCCACCGCTTTATTGGTCAAGCTCTTTGGTCCTTTGGTTGAGAGTCACCTTAATCTTAAGATGGCTGAATTCTACATTCGTTCCTCGCCTTTCAGAATATGCAACTTCTTCATAGAAATCTACAGCATCGCACGTGTATTAGATGACGTAATTGCAAAACCGCCCTAACTGACAAGTGCTTACATCGGAATTAAGCAATATCCGTTGGTTACAGGGAGCGCTAAGCGGTCGCTCAACTCCCTGCAATCAACAGATAAGCGCAGAATAATCACCTCCTGAGGACAGACAACACGTCTCACGCATCTCTACGAAGAGCAAGGCACTGACGACAAGCTGGCAATATGCATTTGATCTTAACAGGCGCCACGGGCCTTGTTGGCTCCGGAGTTCTTGATGCCATGCTCAAGATGAAGGATGTGACCAAGATCTCGATCCTGAGCCGGCGGCCGGTGCCAATGGCTGACGACGCCAAAGATCCGCGGGTCAACGTGATAATCAACAAAGACTTTGAGAAATACGATCCTACTGTCCTGTCGCAGTTGAGCGGTGCCACAGGCTGCGTATGGGCGCTCGGCATTAGCCAGACGCAGGTCGACAAAGAGTAGGTTCATGTCCAATATCCAATTGATAAAGTAGGGCTAAGAAAATGCAGGCAATACGTCAAGATCACCAAGACGTTTGCAGTCGAGGCAGCAAAGGCGTTCGCGATCTTACCACCCAAGGACGAGCCGTTTAGGTTTGTATACGTCTCCGGCGGAGGAGCGACAGTTGAGCCCGGGAGATTCACACAGATATTCGGTCGCGTCAAGGGCGAGACGGAGCTGGAGCTTGCTGAATTGCGCAAGAACAACCCACTCCTGCAGACAATGTCGATGCGGGCAGGCTGGGTTGACCCCTCTGCTCATGAAGCTATCAAGCCGTACATCCCTCAGCAGTTTCTAGCTCTCAGGATAGGCGGTGCTTTGTTGGGTCCGCCGATTCGCGCGTTCGGCCGTGACATGCTCTGGAGCCCGACCGAGTCTCTGGGTGGTTTCCTGACAGAGATGGCCAAGGGCACGTACGATGACAAATATGTGCCTGGCAAGTACTTATACAAGCTCGGAGACTTTCCGATCTTGGAAAATCCGGTGCTTTGGAGTCTGTATGGACAGAAGGAGTAAGGGAGCCATTTTGAATGGAGATGCCGTTTATGGTGCTGTTTTGTGATTATTTAAACCTGTTGACAACCTGAGTGTAGAGTTGGCTCAACCATGTATCAAAGGATCTACATCATATTCGTTGGGACAATAAAATATATTGGTGACAAGTAACTTATGAAAGGAACAGACATTTGGTCCAATTCAAGAAAGCGATTGCGCAAGAAAGATGATTAATCCAGCCTGTCACTTTGAGAACTGGCCCCACACGAACTCGGCCAAATGGTGAGAAAATTTCGGCGAAATCAGCATCAAGTACCTTTGCACATCGGACCGCTTCAAACTCTGAAGACCACATACCTGTCTAATGTCGCCATCTGCTCGCCAGTATCAATCCCGAATCCGTCGGCGGCCATGCGACCGCTGTCGCCGGCAAAAGCTTCGATGCCAGACTGACACCGGCAAGGCATCATGCCGAAGATGTGAAGGATTGGAGGCCCCTTGCATCTTCTCGGCCAACAGACCCGGACAGCGGCTCTCTACCGCGTCACATGTGACCGCCCCCGATGGCTCGAGTATAGATATGGAAGTTTCGGATCTGGTAGAGCCTCTTACTGTTGCCGCCGTAGAGCCATCTGTGCCCATCATTGACGATCAATGGGCGACGACGCCGGCTCCTATACCGTCTTTGTTTCCTGAGCAGAGCCTGGCAACGCAGATATCCAAGAGTTTGGATAAAGATGAGGGCAACTCGTATCAGTTGCTGGGAATATCTTCTGAAGCTGACCCGTGGCTACTAAGGCATTGCAAATATGACCACCATGGGACAAGACAGTTCATGAAGGTGCACTTTAGAAATGCGGGTGGTGTGCCAACAATAGACAAGGTCCCATCGCACTTTCTCATCAGCGATAGCTCCATATATCGTACTGCGAAGGAAGAAACTCGAGTGGCCGGGTATGATGACCCTCGCGCTGAACTGATGCGCTATGTGCCCATCGAGTATGGCCAACGCCTTTTTCGCCTGTGAGTAGTTATTCGCCATGGAGATTTAAAAGACCAACTGACATAGTGTTCAATATAGGTTCATGGTACACGTCTTCCCAAGTTTGCCTGTTCTGTCCAGGACGGACCTGGGACTCGGCCCAGAGAACTCGATACCGGAAAGGAGCATCCTGGACAAAATCCCGACACACCTTCTGGCCGCCATATATGCATCTGCGCTTCCTTTCGCTTCTGAAGAGGATCACCTCTTAATGTTCGTTCTATTCGAGAAACCTTCCGCGTCGGAGCTTTGGCGAATCGTTTATCGATTAATCATGGAAGAAATACATACCCCAAGGCTATCTGTAATGCAGGCTGCCATATTGTATCTCCACAAACCGCAAAAAGATGACCAAAGCTATGCGGTGGCAGACACACCTTTCACTTGGTCTTTCATGGGATATGCCGTAGGATTGGCCCATTCTCTTGGACTTCAGCTTGAGTGTGGAATGATGGGGTTACCGGCATGGGAAAAGAGGCTGCGAAGGCGACTCTGGTGGGCGTTGTACATTGAAGATAAGTTTCTGTCACTGATGCTGGGGAAACCACCCTATCTTCGCTCCTCTGAATGGGATGTGGTGGAGCTTAGTGATGATGACTTTGTAATAACACCACAGTCTCTCGTCCCGGTACCCAACTTGAAGCTACCGTTTCGCGATATGGCTCGCCTCGCAGTCATTGCTGAAGCAGTGCAGGAGAAGTTGTAGTGAGTTCTATCAATCCCTGAAACTATTCTATGCATTAGACGCTAATGAGAAATCCAGTTCTCTGAGGGCTAGTCAATTGTTGGCCCACGAAATGGCTTTGTCTGTCGAGACAGCGAGACCCATCTTTCGGAGTCTGACAAGCTGGCGCGAGTCCCTTCCCTTGGCATCAGCGACGGGTCATATTCTTCACGACACAACCTCGGGCACACCGTCTCCATATCCGGCGACAATATACAATGCATATCTTATTCTAGTTGCATGTGTATGGAGAGCGATTCTCCGAACGACGGTCAAGTCGTCTGAGCCAGCGCAGATTATCCATGTCGAGGACCCGGCAGACGCCACTGTGGCATTCCTCAACGATCTTCGATGGGAGTTCCACCATCTCCCTGAAATGGACTTTCGACTGGATCACGGACATAGAGAAAACGGCACGATGGTGGGTGAGTTGTACGAGGCATCATTAGGTTGCGCAGACACTTTGGTCGATTTTGTGTCAAATCTTGCCGCGCCTTCCTTTGGTGAATTTTGGCACTCATGTAAGGATAATATCCCCAAGCACCATTAATACTTACACAGGATAATTGATAAGCATGTTCATATAGGGTCACGCATAGGTTTTGCTTTGATGTCCAACTTTCTCATGTTGCTCTTGGTGCAAGCGCCCGACTTTGGGAAAGCTGTGGAGGCTAACCGTCTATTAATGAAATGGAAGCAAGTTTTGGACCATCAGCACCGCGCTTTCCCTCCATTTCTGTTGGCAAAAGCCCGGCTGGGGTCATATTTCTATGTTGGGCTGGAGGAGACCTTTTATCTTCCACCGCATGTACAGCAGGCCCTGCAGCAAGGCTGATAGTATCTATTGAAGCTGAAATGGTTCATCTGGAGGCTATCCTATAACATACATCTTCCCAGGCCTCGAGGACATTTCACATTGCCTTAGCAGCTGGCATATTTGAGTTCAATTCAGCAACTAAACTACCTGATCGATACATAGAAGGGCTATCGACGCGTCATCCAATTGACAGATTGATTTGATTTGATTAGATTTTGTTCTCGACCAGAACTCATGATATAGGGTGACGTTCCTTTCTGAAATGTTTACCCGATTGCTAGAGACGCTATCTAGCTAGACACCTATCATCAAACGGCATGCAAGCGTGCCTATACTTACAATTTGCATGCCGGTACTGCTTTCTCAGTGAACTTTCACGAAGATCTTGCCTACTGCTCGTTTTGTTCCCAGTTTTTCAAATGCCTAGTGCTAAAAGTCAGCAACGCACTGGAAACCTAGCTTCAATGCCACAAACCTGTATAGCATCGTCCATCTGGAATGTCGAATCGACGGGCAGCTCTTTGATCCAACCCTTTTCAATCCAGCCAACAACCATTTTCATGGAGGCCGTACTTGGCTTGCTGAACACATTGATAAAAGGCCTTGGAGTTCCTCCGAGAATAACTGGCAATTTTTTCAGAGTCAAGCCGCCCATGGGGCCTCCTTCTATACTGAAAAATTTACCAGTAGCCTTGAGATATCCGGGCGAACGATGGAAGAGAGTGTCATCGCCCACACAGTCTATAATTGCATCGAATGGACCTCTTTTTCTATCTGCCGTGAGAGAGTTTAAATAGTCGTAAATAGAATCCTCAGATTTGTAGTCTAGGGCCTTGTAGTAATATGTTAGCTAGAAAGAATTCGAGGGCTGAGCAGGGGTTCTCAACTTACCTCGCCGCCACTTAATCGGAGCACCAAGTCTACATTCCTGGCAGAGCAAACACTCATAATCTGGACACCCATTCCGTGGAGCGCCTGGATAAGGATCGAGCCTACACCACCACTTGCCCCATTCACAAGCACCTTGTCCCCCTGTCGCAAGCCGGCAGCGGCAACTATGGATGCTGCGGTTTGGCCAGCGATTCCCATGATTCCCGCGGCGACAGACTCGGATATCCCGCTGGGAACTTCCACGATCTGATCAGCTGGAAGGATCATATACTCACACAAGGCTCCGTACCCAGTCAAAAGATAGGAGAGAGGTAGGGTTCCAGCCACGATCGTGCCGACCCGAATATCGGGGTCCGAGGCGCGAGCGGATGACCCCAGTTGGATTACCTCGCCAGCATAGTCATATCCAGCGATAGCCTTTCCTTTCCAAGGTATTATGGTAGACATCATCTTGATGTCGCCAGGGTTCAGTGCCGCGTAGGATACTCGGATCAGGACTTCCCCAGCTTTCGGAGATGGGGGCATTGGCCAGTTGGTCTTTAGCTGTAGGACATCGGAAGGCTTTCCCGCACGGGTGATGACCCATGCCTTCATAGTTTTGGGCAATTCCGCCATGATGAATTATTTGAAAAGATATTGGGAGGGAGGATGGATGTAGATGTGAATAGAAGAAGTAACTGTACGTCTGAGAAGCAGAGACAACACTAGATGCGGATATAGACTCGGCGGGCCTTTTATAATTGAATAGACTGACATGGGGACCCATTTCTGGAGACAGCTATCCGCATCCCGAAGGGATAAATTCCCTGGTAACAAGGGGAATTCCCATCATATTGGCCAGACTGAGCCGTCTGGCGATTACCGATTTCAAATCTGATGCGGCAAACGGACCCACTCGACCCAGTTCGGATAACGGATCCGCATCAGCGTTCGAAACGGGAAGTTGGACTCGCACAGGGATGACAAAGCGCCGCCTGAAGGGATGCTCGAGTCAACCTCTCCGCCTAGCTTCCGCGTCGATTATGTTGTTCTTTTTGTACACATGCTGGATGTTGGTGACTAGCTTGCGTGGAATAATTCTAGCATCGCGCGCTCATCATTCCTGTGGGCTCGAGTCTTCAACCTTCAGCCGGTCATTCTCGTTCCACTGCATGGAGAGTTAGGCATGAATGACGCAAATAAAAGGAAGCGAGGTTTTGGTCATGAAAACGCCATGTCCGGCGAGAGTGAGGTTCCGGTGACCTCTCGAGTAAAACGACATTCACGCACTCGAAATGGTTGTGAGCGGTGTCGTGCGCAGCATCGAAAGTGTGAGTACAGTGGCGTCAATGCTCAGATATTATCCGATCGACCATACCATCTCTAACCAGTTCATTTCCTATAGGCGATGAAAAGAAGCCTCAGTGTAGCCGCTGTGTAGGTGCTGGAGTATCGTGTCAATATGTTACCCGTATATCATTCCTCGACCAAAATATGACAGCAATGCCGGCCAACGCAACTCCTGATGAACCGATTCGGGATATGAAGACCGCCCGTCCCATTATGAATGTACGTAACCACAAATGGTTTAACAAAAGAGATATTGGATCGTTGTGCTCATGAATACAAAGTTTGTCAACATGGGCATATCTGACGATAATACGACTTCTGGCACCGTGGTGATATCGGACCAAGGCACAAAAATGCAACACCCTGAAGCCAGATATCAGAATCCTCAATTTCAAGGACAGCGAGACCCGGCCGAGGCTGATAATATGGCCAGTGAGCCGATTCACGGAAAAGAGTCTCTCAAACAAACGCAAAACATCAGTGAGCTCAAAGAATTTAGTACGTGGCCGATGGTCGGACGTAGCCCTCTTGCGGCAGAAGAAATCCCTCTCCTTCAATCTTTTATCCACATCGTCGCACCATCTGTAGGTCTTTAGTTTCTGTATTGAATCTTACGACGACGATAGTACTAACCTGGGGTTACTTCAGCTAGATGTTTATGACAAGAAGGACACATTTCGCCATGAGCTCACAACGTTGGCAATGAATTGCCCCTGTCTACTAGAAAAGCTACTGCGTCTTTCAGCAGCACTCACAGGCCGGCCTTCATATCTAGTTCAGGTCCGTGGTGTCGTTTCTTTCAGATTGAGAGCTGAAGCTGTGACACCATTGACTGCTATCCGGCTCATGGGCAGTTTCGCTCTGGACAGAACACTCCTTTTCGCAGAAGATAGTCTAGATGAATGGGAATCCGGGTTTTACCGGGACCACATCCCGCCGATACTCAACGCCGCTCACAATATGGACCCAGCCCAAAAACAGATATGGTGTAGCATTCTTGCCTTAATCGCAAGACTTGGTAGGTGCCTTGTTTCCGAATAGCTCATCGACCCGCCTTTGTTATGCTTGAGAAAGCTTCTATTCAGTTTTGGCTGTTCACAAAACTAATCAATATGATGTGATCATCTTTACAGAGATCGCTGCTTCGCTTGCACATGGAAACTCGTCAATGACGAGCACAAGTATTCTCGATATTTTTCAACGCTACCAGAGCGGCTCTACGGATTCATTTTGCAGATGTTTTACGGCTTCCATGAAGTGTCTTAAATTGTTATCTGAAGTCATGGAACTATGCCTTCCCACATCATATACGAGGGCCGATCGTTCAAGCGACGAAAATGTCCACTCTTTTGAGAACACCATCTTTGCTTCGCGATGGAACAAATTACTGCGCAAGCTTTTAGCCTGGGAAAAAGCTCGCCCAGTGGAGCTTGAAGAAGTATACATCGCTGGCAGTTCCGAAAACACTCTGCCCAAAATAATATACGGCGGCGGCGGAGGTATCTCTACGAATATTCTATATCGTACCGCTATGTTCCTTTTACTCAGCAAAAAGCCAGAGTCGGCCAGCAGCTTTGAGCGAGATCCAAACGCGTCTCCAGACGCTGAGCATATATATCCTCTTTTCCATCTGCGCTGGGTCTGCGGTATCGCCTTACATTGTGAGGCCGGAGACTCGCATTGCTGGGATCCATGCACAATAGCAGCGATGTCAATTCTAATGCCACATATCACTGGGTTGATACAACCCACAGATATGACTGGCATCAAAAATAGCATCAGGTCGTCCGGTTGGCCGGCTGGACAAATGTTGGAATAACGGGTAGAAATAACATACGAGAGAATAATCAAGGAGTTACTTTAAGATTAATCATTACCCAGTACGTTCTTTCCGGGCGGTTGATCGATGGAAAAAACACTCTGAAAGGTGTAATCGGCGAATTTGCTAAAAGCCCACACACAATGGGGCAACATTCGCCGAATCAGATTTTGCTCCTCTAGACCCCCAGCGGCGATGTCTGAATTAATAAATTAGCAGCTCCTCACTGCGGACTGCTTTATTTTCTCTAATTGATGCAAATTGTGTTCTTTCTTTTCTTTTGTGGGCACGATAACATTGGCTTTCGCGGCTTTTCACAGCCTTCTCTGCAGGATGCATGTCACCGATGATCAAGTTTATTACCCTGAGGGCGGTTTATCGGCATGGCTGGTTGTAGTTGGTGCATGGTGTGCCATGCTCTCATCCATGGGTCTTCTTAATACTCTGGCCGTTCTTCATGCTTGGGTTGGAGAGCATCAACTAAAGCACATGTCCGCATCAAACATCGGATGGATATTCAGCAGCTACGCTTTCTTCCTTTATATTGGAGGTGCCCAGATAGGTGAGCTACTGCCAGAAGGAATAGACTTGGGGGTTTTCTAACAGGATAATGCAACTTTTAGGACCTATTTTCGATGCCCATGACATCAAATTTTTGCTTGTACCTGGCAGCATTGGCCTAGTACTTTCAACCATTTGTCTCAGCTTTTCACAAGGTAATTGCATTCTTCCCAAGTGAAAATAGATGACGGTATCTAAATTTCCTTTAGAATTTTACCAATTCTTCCTGTCCTTCGGGGTTCTTGGCGGTCTATCAGCATCTTTATTATTCACACCCAGTGTCTCAGCGATCGGACACTGGTTCTCAGAGAAGCGTGGATTGGCAACAGGCATAGCATGCACGGCAGGTGGAATTGGCGGTATTATCTTCCCAATTACTATCCTGTATCTGGCGCCATCCATCGGCTTCGGCTGGGCAATTCGTGTGGTCGGCCTCCTGTGTGCCGCCTTCTGCGTTCTAGCATGCATCTTATGCCGCAAGCGGTTGCCACACAATAAACAAGCGGGAGCAGCCATCGATTTCAAGGCTTTGACTGAGGCCAAGTACGCAACGACGACGGTTGCTGTTTTCCTTGTTGAGTTTGCCGTCTTCATTCCTTACACGTACATCTCATCGTACGCAATTCATATGGGAATGACCCCTAGGAACGCCTACCTTCTCAATGCTTTTGTCAATGCTGGTGCAGTTCCTGGTCGTGCTCTTCCGGGATATGTGGCCGACCGGCTGGGAACGTTCAACGTCATGTGTATAACAGCCACAGTTTGTGCAGTTTTTATGCTCGGAATGTGGCTCCCCATTGATTACTTGAACGTAACCGCCATCAACATCTTTGCGGTTCTATTTGGCTTTTGGTCTGGTGCGGCGATCAGCCTGACACCTGTTTGCGTCGGGAAAATGTGCCACACAAAAGACTATGGAAAAAGGAATGGGACTACGTTTTCTATCGCAAGTGTCGGATGCCTCATTGGCATTCCTATCGCAGGAGCAATCACAGAAGCAAACTCTGGGTCATATAATGGCCTCATCATTTTGGCCGGCGTGGTATACGCTGCAGCGACGGCCGCATTTCTGACGGCCAAGTTGATGGCGACAGGGTGGAAACTCACTGCCAAGTTCTAATGCCGGACACAACAAGGCTTAGAATATTTGAAACCACGATAGTAAAAGCAAATTTGGATGTCGATATTTTATAAAATTAACGTCGAAATTACGCGCGGGGGTAATGGTATAGAAATTGTTGCCGTAGACAATTGGCTGGTATAAAGCCTTCCAGAAGAGGAATCAAGGATAGAATAAATTAACAAAAGACGAGAACCTTATAATAGTAAGAGAATAAAGTTTTAAATCATTAAGGAAAGTGAAACTGATAAACCATATTTCATCTGTCATGTAAGTTCTAGATTCCCTTAATCGAAGGGCCTCAAATGTTTCTGCGGCCATGAGTGTAAACCAGATGACTTGGAGAAGAGTCATGCTCCCTAGATAGAGACAATTTTAACCGGATAAATCAAGAGAAACCTAGAAAGAAGTCCAGATTGAAAAGTATGGCGAGAGATTACCCCCACCGTCCGAGCAAACTGTCCCAATGATTGATTTTTATCACTGCCTAAGATCAATTAGTGCGATGCTGACAAGGGAGAAACGCGATACCCCTGGCCTGAGTCGCTAACTAATCACGCCAGCGATGCAGTGATCAGACGAAGACCCCTCGCCGCTACAGTTTCTTCAAATAGAACAAGGACTTTCCCATCAGGCAGAGCCTAAAGGGTCCCTTTACCCAGCCGACCTACATCCCGTCTCACCCAACACATTACTACCATTGACGCCTACCAATATGAAGCCCACGGCATTGCGGTCAACCATCATTGCGGTTTGTCTTTCAATTGGGACGACAATGCTGCTCTACTTGGGCATTTTGGGTGCCCTCACCGCCAGACCATCATTACAGGCTCATGCGATATATCTTCACAAAGTCGCCTTGACCTGGTTCAAAGACCTCAATGTCCCAGAACAGTTTGGCTTTGCCCATAATCAGGTTACACCATTCTATATCCCAACACCTGATGGCGAGAAGCTGCACTCATGGCATATTTTGCCCCTGGGCGCCTACATCGACAATCAATCTAAGCTTCTAGCGCAAGGGACTGGATTGGTGGACAGTTTCGAAGAAACGCTCAATTTCAAACTGCTGAAAGATAACTCAAATGCTCGCCTCGTTCTTTATTTTCACGGCGCAAGTGGCACGTTGGCTAGTGGGTGGCGGCCGGATAGCTATCGTTCCATTTATGCTGCTGACTCTGTCAACACGCATATACTGGCCTTTGACTATCGGGGCTACGGCAAATCAAGTGGTGAGCCCTCTGAATCTGGAATCATCCAGGATGCTCTTACCATTGCGGCCTGGGCTATGGAGGTGGCCGACATTCCACCGGAGCGTATTGTTGTATACGGCCAGAGCCTCGGCTCCGCGGTCTCGATTGCTCTGGTCAATGAGTTGGTTAAAAGAGAACAGAGGACACATTTCGCTGGTCTCATAGTAACCGCAACCTTTTCCGATGTCGCCCAACTGGCAGCTACATATCGAATTGGAGGTGTTATTCCTGTGCTCTCTCCTGTCGCTAAGGTTGGTCCGCTGTTCAAGTATTTAACAAGTCGCTTGGCCAGTACATGGGACAACCAAAAACGACTGGGCGAAATCATTGAGTTGGCTGAACAATTTGATATCACTTTGTTGCATGCCGAGGATGACCCAATCATCCCAATTGATCACTCACATCGCCTGTTTCGACATATGATTAATGTCGTGGAAGAGGCCGAGATTTACTCCGGTGTTGATGCAAATGAGAACCTAACGGAGAGATTGGAGAGCAGGCGGGAATCTCGGGGTGAAGGAGGATCTGTTGTTGAATGGCCAACAAGTAAAGGGACGATTCGATTCCTTACATTGAACTATGGCGCTCACGATGAGATCATGTCGCACACTGCGACAAGCATTGCTATTAGCAAAGCGTTTGGTTCCTATTGATATTTCCGATATTCTGGGAAACAGTATCAAAAATGGTTAGCATATGTATGATATGGGGGCATTATGATAACATGGCGTTTATAGAAAAGCATATATCGGTTCTTATGATTTCATACAAGCAAAGCCTTATTCTATCCTCTATATACTACGTAGCTACCGCGAAATTCCGGCCTTTCCCAATTCTCTTCATTTGATACCAATCACAATAAGCCCCATAGCCACCCACAAATAAGAAGACCAAAGACGGAGTGCGAGAAAGAATTCGTTCAAAGAAATATTAGGAACGGGAACACCAAAGGTTGCATTGCATGCACATTGCTTTTTTTCTTCTCATCGTACCTTAGACCCCTACCTGCAAAAAGGAAAACACATTCCCCATTTTACGAGGTTAGTCTCGATAGTTTTTCATCATTCTTTTCTGCTCGCTTCCTGTTCTTTCAGTCAGCTTACACAGCACTCTCGCTAATGGACTACCTAGTCAATCAATAGGTAACCACAACCATGTTTTCTGCCTCACCATTCTGTCTAAGCTATGACGTCAACTGCTCATGAACAACTGCCAATATCGAGAATTGCAGCCCCTGCCGATTTTCAGGTATATTTGTTCTTCTAATGATGAATGATGACTCAAATGGAGGGCAAGAGGGCAGATCGACAAGGTTAATACCTGAAATGTGACCACGCCCTTGAGATGATTAGATGCGTTACAAATCAATGATCCCCTCAATTTACTATAAAACCCCCGCGTTTTAGTCTGCTTCGTAGCTTTTCATGCAACTTTATTTTATGTTTTTTGTCAACTCAAACGCATCCAATTCTCCTCATTATATAAGGTATTCTGTCACAATGGCGCCAGAACCAAAAACCTTTCAGATCTCCGTGCCCGAAAAGGCACTGCAATCCCTGAAAAATAAGTTATTATCCTCGACATACTTTGAAGAGGTAGAGTTTGCCGATGACTGGGACTACGGAGTGCCAATGCGTGACGTCAAACGATTGGCGAGGTATTGGGCCGACGGGTTCGACTGGCGAGCGCAAGAGGCGAAAATAAATAGCACATTGCCTCAATTTACGACGACCGTGCACGTTGACAAATTTGGAGATCTTGAAATGCATTTCGTTCACCAAAAGAGTGATAACCCGAAGAGCATTCCACTTCTCTTTTGCCATGGCTGTAAGACAGAATCCCCTCTCTATGTTTTCCTTGGTTCTTGGACTAACATGCATGATTCAAAGGGCCCGGAAGTTTCCTCGAGGTAGAAAAGATTCTTCCCCTGCTATTGAATCAAAAAGACGGGCCTTCTTTTCATGTGGTCGCACCTTCTCTCCCCAATTTCGGGTTTTCCCAAGGGGCATCGAAGTCAGGATTTGGCGTTGCACAGTACGCAGAAGCCATGCACAAGGTGATGATCAACCTTGGATACGACAAATATGGTGAGTCGATTCGTCTTTCGCGTTCTGAAAAATGCTGTTAATTTCTAACATCGAGTACATAGTCACTCAAGGCGGAGACTGGGGCTACAAAGTCACTCGATTTATAGGCATCCTCTTCCCCCAGCACTGCCTCGCTTCTCATCTCAACATGGTTCTCGCAAAGCCTCCCACGCTGGCCAAGCACCCCTTATTATACTTGCAAGATAAACTCATACCACGAACAGAAGTCGAAAAGGCTGGCCTCAAACGCACGGACTGGTTCGCCAAGGAAGGGGCTGGATATAACGTTCTCCAAACTACTAAGCCATCCACCATTGGCCACGCTCTTGCCGACTCGCCTGTGGCTCTGTTGGCTTGGATCTGGGAGAAGCTTCACGACTGGGCAGATGATTACCCTTGGACGGATGACGAGATCCTCACTTGGGTTTCAATCTACCAGTTTTCTACCGCCGGTCCTGCCGCTAGTGCGAGAATTTACTACGAAGTTCAGCAGCCCAACAAGCACGAAAGCTATTCGAACAAGGTGTTTGACTACAATTCTAAAGTCCCTCTGGGACTTTCGTATTTTCCGCAAGATATTTTTGTGCCTCCTAGAGCATGGGGCCGAACGTTGGGGCCCGTCGTTTTCGAGGCCAACCACACAGAGGGGGGACACTTTGCTGCGCATGAGAAGCCCGAGTTATTGGCCGGGGATTTGAAGAAGATGTTCGGTCCGGGAGGTGGTGCATCTGCGGTGGCAAAGAGACTGACCGAGTCTGCTTGAATGAATGTGATTACTATTTCTAGCGTTATGTTCAATATCTCGAGATGCAACCCGCCTACATGAATTTAAAGCGTCTTCCGATTTGGAATAATTTGAGAGTAGAACTGCCCTGATGTGTTCAATGTACGCCTCGAAAGAACTTCCGTAGAATAGCCATCATAGATAAGGTATGAAAGCAGTCAAATATCTGCCTTAGCTAATTGTTGAACAGCGGTTCGGCGAGTGATGCATTCCAACCCCTAGTGATGTTATACAATAAGTTGAAGTTAAAGAATTAGATGCTAAGTGAGATAACGATGAAAATGGAAAGGACATATCTCGGTTTAGATAAATGCTCAACACCGCGAGTCTATGATAAGTTCATCCATCTGTTCAAAGCCATGTCAAAATTTTGACTAAGTCACGGGATCCCACTTTCTCAGTGCTCTTAAGTAAGAGGCACTCTTTTTTGGCAGCACCATATTAGCCCTAAAGTCCTCCCAGGGTTTTTCGTATCAATACAGCGCCATTTGCAGGTGACCCAGCTAGCTGGTTATTGGCGCCGCGTGTGACCTCTCTACTTTGCCGCATCACATTCGCGCACCGTTATTTCAGGCTTGAGTCAATGTGAAGCACAATTGTGAATCCGGTTCAATGACAAATTGGGATCTTTCCATCCATTGCGTCACAGAAGATCTTTAGCTGAAGGGAACCCTGTTGCCTTAGCTGAAGCCGGGGCCGGTCCCTCGGAATGGTCACGATCTCACTTCCACTTCCGGCGTTCACATGCAAGATAAGCCAATAATCCCAGAGCTTTGGGGTGAGATTTTCTAATAGTTCAGATGGATTGCTGAAGAATGCAGGGATATGCGGATGCGAGTGGAGTCACCCGGGCAGGAACAGGCTGATTTCGTCGCGGCGCAGCTCTTTTGCCCAGCTAGTAGGCATCATCAGAGATCTGATTCGCCCAATGACGCGCTGAAGGCGGCCTTCACCAGTTCTCGCAATTGCACACCGGGCTAGGGCGGGTGTCGTGACAGCCTTGCAGCCTGCGAATGATATGCCCGGATTGGCGGACGACGACGAGAACACAGGCCGGCCCTGCTGAATCTGCTATGACTGGACTTTGGGTCCAGCGGGTCAATCGTTCTCATGACTTCCCCAAAATGAAGCATTTTTCGGATAGTTCGTTGCGAGATGAGCTGAGCAGCCTGGATGCTGAGCGAATCACGTCTCTAATCTGTGTCGGCACAATTGTCCTTCTGACGTTGACCATGGGCTGTGCTGTAGACCTGCGGCTTGATGGGGGCGAGAGAAAGTGGAAAATGGCGTAGACATGTAGATATAAAGATCCTTCTTTGAGCGCAGCAAAGAAAAGTCCTCCATCATCAACTCTTGACACTTCTCTATTCACACTACTCATAAATTACACACCATGGTGAACTCATTCGTAGCAACCGCTCAGTGTGTAAGTGGCTTCTCCCAACCTGATCATCGAAGGAAAGGGATACTGACTGCCTTACAACAGTGCTTAGCTTTATCGTCTCTACTTGTGGGAAAGGTTTCTTTCCCCGGTACTGACACCTACGACTCGTCTCTAGCTTCCTATTTTGCGGCACAGGAAGCTTCAACCCACCCGCAATGTATCGTCTCTCCGCAGACAGCAGCTGAAGTAGCCTCTGCGGTCCAACTATTGACCACAGGCCTGAATCGGAAGTGCAAGTTTGCTGTTCGCTCAGGAGGCCACAGTAGCCAGCCTGAGGCCGCGAACATCCAGGACGGTATTACTATTGATCTCAGAGGCCTCAACTCCATCGATGTAAACGAGGATAAGACTGTTGTATCCGTTGGGGTCGGAAACTCGTGGGACCTTGTCTACGCCAAGCTCGACCCGATGGGCCTCAGCGTCGCTGGAGGACGAAGCGCAGGAGTCGGCGTTGGCGGACTCAGTGTTGGAGGAGGCATATCATACTTCAGCACCCGCTATGGATGGACAGTCGATACCATCATCAACTATGAACTGGTCCTGGCCAATGGAACCATCGTCAATGCAAACGAGAGGGAAAATCCAGACCTTCTGTGGGCACTACGAGGTGGTGGCAACAGCTTTGGAATTGTCACACGGATAGACATTTCAGCCTTCCAACAGGGTCCCTTCTGGGGAGGAATCATCTACCTACCTGCTTCCAATGTCGAGACTCACGCCCGAGAATTCGTCAACATCAACAACGCGGATAGCTACGACCCCTTTTCACACATCATGCTCACTTGGGCTTACTCTAAAGAGAGTGGACCTCTGATTTTGAACTTCCTGGAGTACACCAAGGAAGGTGTCCAGAGTCCAGAGGAGTTCAAGGCGCTCTCTGAGCTTCCTTCTTTGTACAGCACTATGCGGACTTCGAATGTGTCGGACTTTGCTATGGAGATGAAAGGATCCCAGGCCCAAATTCAAAGAAGACTCTGGGCCACGAATACGCTCGTAGCAACCGAGGAAACGGTCAAGGCTACCTACACTCGTTTCAACGAGAGTCTCAAGTCTGTCGAGGACATTGAGGGCTTGGCGTGGTCGTACACACTCGAGCCGCTGCCACCAGCTATATACTCCCGCCATGCAGATTCAAATGCTCTAGGATTGGGTGACAGACACGCAGCTCTTTTCATGGGGCTATTTACCGCAGGTTGGAGCCAGCCAAGTGACGATGCTAGAGTCAAGACTGCAGTTGACTCGGTTATGGAGGCAATGGAGACAGATGCAAGGGCACTTGGTTCGTGGGACCCATTCGTTTACTACAACTATGCAGGGCCATCACAGAATCCAGTGAAGAGCTACGGAGAGGAGAATGTGAAGCGTCTACGCAACATCGCCAAGAAGGTGGATCCTTGCCAGGTTTTCACCAAGCAGGTTCCGGGAGGTTTCAAGCTCAATTGAACCCCGAAGACTTCATTTCGTCCACTTTTTAGGTTGTTTGATTCATATAAGCCAGCGTTTCATTGGGAGGGAGTTCTGTAGATTTGTTGAGTGCAATTTGCTTTGTCAGATACCACTTCAGGCTGGTCCCGAACTTCTTTATGCGCAAGTCGAGTTAATTGAGATTTTATAAATACGAATATTGACTACATTGTTATTACTCTATACGTGCACATAGACGACACAACGTTCCTTAGACTTCCGGCCAATTGCCTAACCCCAACGTCAATCCCCCTCTTGACGCGGTGTGTATCAAATCATAGAGTTGCCCAACACTCCCTTAATCGACTTGATGAATGTTACTTAGGCCCTACGCCAGTGGCCTTTTCCCTCCTAACATCTACCCAACCCATACCAAAAGAGACAGCCAGCGAAACGACACATGCGCCGACTAGTAGATAATAGACATTCCCCATACTTTTAGAGTACACATCGAGGACAGATCTGAGGAGCTCGCCACCTGCTGGAGCAAGGGCTCTGACCGCTTCAGAGCTTCCGCCAGCAGCAATGGCAGCAATAGGGTCAATAGACGGGGTCTCATTCTTGATGTTGGTTTTCAGGCTTTCTTGAAAAACAGTGTTCGCGGCAGTGATCAAAATAGCCCCAAAAAGGCTCTGGCTGAAGACAAGCATCGAGTTACCGATGGCAATCTCTGAAGGGGGCAGAGCGTTCTGAATGGCTACCGTGGACTATTTAAACCAGTCAGACGAAAGAATCAGGATAATAGTTGCGGAGAGGGATATCACCATCTGCATTCCAAATCCACGGAGAGCAAAGATAATTTGGTAGCCTATCAGCTGTCCGAGTGTGGTATTCGGGGTCCAAGTAGAGATAAGACCGCAGCCAATAGCTGTTCCCCCAGACGCAAACGCTGCCCAGGGAATATAATAACCAAATTTTGGCACTCCAAGAAGTTAGTCAAATTCACAATGTGGGATGGAATATGGAGACTGACTCAAAGCCCCGGAAAAGATGACATAGACCACCGAGAGCAGGATTGTTGGAAGCATGTAAACGGCACTCATAGTAGGCGATAATCCTTTAACCGACTGGAGGTAGATTGGCAAGAAGTAGCCCCCTCCGGTCGTAACAGCAATCAAAAAGGCATAGTAAAGACAACTGGTCCATATCGCTGTCTGAGATAGGATACGAAGAGGAATCATTGCCTTTTCACCAACTCGCCTCTCCCAAACGATGAAGAGCCCGGCCGATAACGCGGATCCGCAAAACAGGCCGATGACTGTTGCGGAGTTCCAGCTGTAGTTACTTGCACCGAACTGCAGCGCCAAGAGAAGCATCAATGAGGCAGGAGCGAGGAGTGCAAAGCCGAATAGATCGAAGTCAGGAATTAGTTTCGCAACAAGAGACAGGGTCGCAGGCTCTTTCTGAATATGGTCAGGAATCGATATTAGATATTATAACAATCAACAATGCAGCAAGTCCGCCCAAAGGAAGGTTAATGTAGAAGCCTGGTTTGTTAATCAGCCACATACTCTTGGGTCGACCGCAATGGGATTACTTACACCAACGCCAGCTAGCATGCTCGGTGAAAATGCCTCCAAGGAATGGACCGAAAACAATGCCAATCTGGCCCACTGCGGTATAGTTAATAATAATCTTCAAAGCGGTGAGGCGTTTGGATATTATTGACATACCTCCCATAGCGATACTTGTATAGACTTGGGCCCGTTGAATTAGAAAGGTTCTGGCGGCTCGCTAAAACTTGAAACTTACATGTTCGTTTCTCCGGAGTTACGGCTCCAAAAATGAGTGTGAGGCATCCATTCATTAGACCAGAACATCCTAACCCGGCTACAGCCCGGCCAATGATGAGCATTAGGGAGGATTGAGCTGCTCCACAGATTGCGGAACCAATCTCAAATATCAGGACAAAAGCAAGCAGTGTCCACTGATGTCTGTTAGCTTAGGGGTTCACTTAATGCGAGTTCCGGAGAGTATGAACCTTGATGCTGAAATATGTATAGATCTTTCCCGTCAGAGGCTGGACTGTTGCACTCGCTAGCTGATAGGCACCGCTATACCAACTGATGTCTTCAAGACTATGAAAATCACTCGTTATTTGCGGAACAGCCTAAATCAATATTGCAGCCTTCAGTTAGCGTATTATTCTCCTCAAGTATCGGAGCTTTTGCCCATACATACGGTTCCAATGATGGAAATATCCAGCATTGTAAGGAGGATCAGGAGGGTGATGCTTATCATGGCGAGGAATAATTTGAGGCCGGTGAGATATCTTGTTTCATCCTGGGCTCCTGCACCTCCAATTTTCTGAGTATCAAAATCATGGCCGGGCATTTCAGTTTGACCTAGAGGTAAGTGCTTTTCAACCATTTCCCCTGCCTCAAGCTGAGACGACGCCTGCCCGATGGAACACGATGACGCGTCTTTGGACATTGTGATATTATGGTATTGTGGTATTATCGTATTGTTGGGTGGAAGGTAAAAGGGTAAATAGATGTACGAGAACAGTAACAAACAATGAATCAAGTATCCATGCTTTCTCTTCCGTGAGGATAAACCCTTAAATATGTCAGTGAGCTGTGTCGAATCCCGCCGGCCCAGCTGAATTCCGCCGATCCCTGGTTCGCCTTGTGCCAAGGGTACCATGAGATGACAGCCCATCCACGGCACAATGCGATTACCAGGCTGCTAAATCAATTGCCGTTAAGTATTACTCCTGCCACTCAGTCCATAAATCCATCATCCAATCGTCAGAAGTGAGATCAACTGGCACTCCCACGCCCGGGATGCTATCAACACTACCACTCTGCTGGGACATCACATTCAATTCATCAAAAGAACTGTCGTCAGCCAAAGCCTTTCCCCAGATAGAAACAGCATGTCTCAATGCGTTTGCCGCTTTTGTAAACCAGCTAACGCTATCTACATCCAATCGCTTTGTTTCTGCTGTGGCGAGGAAACGTTGCGCCGTTGCCTCCATAACGCCCAGAAGGTCGATCGCGTTGCGCACCGTCCTCTTGTCCCAGGATGGATCGTTTATCAGGGATAGGCGATATAAGATTTGAGTGCAGCGGGCGAAGTACCAATGTACCGGCATGCTCATACAATAGAGCTCGTCGATCGTAAAATGAGACCAATTGTCTAGATGCTGTCGGCATGCATTGAGACATGCATGAAGGTGCTCGGCTTTTTGGAAATCAAGCCATGAATTCCCGTCTGCAAGACTACCTTGACGATGTAGGGGGAGGTCATTGATGCTAGCCTCCACATAGGAGATGTAAGATCTAATCGTTTCTAATATGTGTAAGTATTGTGCTTCAAGGAAGACAGTATGTGAGGATGAAGTCACATTTCATACTTTCATTGAGAATGTCCGGCGAAAGATCAGACTTGAGGGACTTCAATCTGTTCACAAGATAAGAGGTATGGACGGCGGGTGGTAATTTTGAATCCCGCTCCGCGTACATGTCGATATTCCGGGAAGTCGTAGCCGCACTGACAGCGTCAATGATTCTAAATACCTTTACAATGGCAACAAGTATCCTGTCGTGAAGAACCTCCGGATAAGAAGACAGGTGTTGAAGACTTGCTTCCATGTCCGAAGTCCATCTCATCGGTGGTGATTCGAGCAATTCCGAAATGCTTATTGAATGTCAGCCGCAAAGACTCGAGCGAAGTCATAAAAACTAGAGTACACGTACGCGGTACATATACAGAAACAGGCAAGCACTGCACGGCGTCCTTCATTGGTTCTTCCCGGCGACGGTACCTGTTGTGGAATGGGATAGGTGTATGCGCGTCCGATATCCGTTTCTTTGTATGGGTTCTCTTGCGCAACAACTCGATCGAGACGTAAGTCAAACACCAAAGAGGCCGCTACGCCTGAACAAACTGTCAGGAATTTTCTGTCTCGGATCCGATCGGTTATCCTTCAACAGCCATTAGCGTTTGTGACATTCCACTCATCGAAATTCGCCTCACCATGCAAGGTAAGCAATGATGCCGAGAAGAAGATCCATGCTTCGTTCAGAATCGACAAAGATTCGACGGCCTAGACTCTCGCGAAAACGTGCGTCTAGAGCGCGCCTTTTTTCTGATGACCGACAACAAATAATGCGTATGCTAAGCCAGAGAGAAGGACGTTCGTGTTGCAGCCGTGTGCCACTGCCAAATACCAGTCAGAAAGCGCATATTTACGACGGAGAAAATCTTACCTAATACCCTCTTCAAAGTGAATAAATGGGAAAGATCTAAGGTGGAGTTCTTTGAAAGTTTTGAGCACTGCTTCCGCGTCAACTGGACACAGCTCTAGGGGCGGTGACAGCGCAGGAGCAGAAGAAGTCATCAACAATTCTGGCCGGCTATTTGGCAGTATTGTGGGTGCGCAAGCTATTCTGGCGCCGAGAGACTGTGCATGAGCAGTATCTGTAGCCACACGATGTGGTGTAGTGGACGGGTTCTCCCCAGGTGCCGGTAGCCTTGAGTTTGTGTGTTCCGAAATAAGGTGGATGGCTTCTTGCTCCTCCCTATGACTGCTCGGGCTGTCACTCTCACGCTCTCTTGATAAACGACCTGCCACTCGCTTTGAAAGACCCTTTCGAACTACCGCGGAGGGTAAGCATTGCTTGAGCAAGCGATGGCATCTCTCACAAGGCAGGCCAACCCCACGGCTTATGCACTTGCATTTCGCTTTGGAGCAGCCAGCACAGGCATGGCCGTAGGGAGCAGGCTTATGCCGAGCGGAAGCAGGGCTGCGGGTTTCCATTGAATCGGGCTCTTTTGTTTTGGCCGGTGTTTGTTGAGATCGGAGATTTGGCTGTTGGGGGCTGGTAGAAGAATTGTGCTCTCATAACTCGGCGGATTTCATCGGCGGGATTCAGATAAAGGGCACTCCATTGGCTGGTGATGAGATCGCCCGACAAGGGATCCTTGACAACATTCATGTAATCGGGCGCTAAGAGGCTTCAAACATGTTGCCTCAAGTATCATCTCGTTTCTCCACGATGAAGTGTGCTATCCTACGAAGGGTCACTGAATGTGCTACACTACAATTTCAGGTGGATTAAAATTTTATGCGTAGCCTTTCCGCACAAGATTGAGCGGTTCAGCACCATTATCCAAGGGTTCAGGGTAGCTGCCAAAAGCCAGAGGAAGTAAGAGGATGAAAAGATATTGTACCCGAGCAAGTAGCTGAAATAAAACATTGCTCACTAAAGATCTTTGCTTCCTATTAATAATACTAAATATAATTGAGTATTCTACAGTAAACCTACAAAAGCTACCTACCCAACTACCTTTAGTCTCTGGGTTTAGGTGGGTTTACTCGATTTCAAGTGGGTTTGCCCATTTCAGGTGGTTTTTGCTCGTGAGTTCTCAGCATGTACCTTGATCCAACACATCAGAAGCCTCGCCTAAATCAACCCAAGCTTATTATATTCAATTTATCTATCTCCCGTGACTGACGCATAATAATTTGTAGCAATTCTGCTTTGCTTGCAGCGGCCATACCATATACTATACCGTACTATACCAGTTTTTATTCCCTTGAGTCAATTGAATCATACCACCGTAGTCCTTTATGGTTCGTTCCAACGCGTCAGCGGATGACGGGTGTGTCCTCCTCCCGTCAAATACTCTGAGTCGTTCAATCAAATCACCCACATCCTCACGCCTTTGACCAGGATATAAGCTCAAGAGCATTTGCACCCACATTGCGATTTCAGATGGTGTCTCATTGATCTATCTATTCTACCTAGGCTAGATGCCGGTACGCTCGTGAATTACTCGCTCGTCCACATCATCTATATTACCCTTCATTTTGCTGTATCTCCATTCTCCCCGAATTTTTTTTCTTCGAGGGCGGAGACTAAGCCCCAAAAGAAGAAGACAGGGAACAGGCCTCAGGCTTGGTTGTCTGACTCGACATTTGGGATGGTCATTGGCTTCCGGATATTCTGAACAACGATGCGCTTTAACACGACTGCGGTGACTCTCCGTACAGTGGGCCACATATCCTGCTCGCCACTGACGCTGTTACAGGCTGCACCCTCCTTGTTGCTCTGTGAGATCACCCACATTGTATTCAGGAGGTGCTGTTCAAAGGGCGAGTTTGTGCCAAATCTCGGAAGGCAATCTTGCCCCTTGAGAGCCAGTTCAGACATGTCATTCTCGCGATCGGCGGAAGAGCGCTGCTTATTTTGCAGAATCGTGGCCACTTCTCTGCCTAGAGTCTCCCTTGACCTTTCACTAGCCTTGAACAGCGCCTTGATGGAGTTGGTACGTTTGATCAGCCCATCTAGAGTGGCCAGATTGTGCTCGTGTGATGCCTTGATGAGGTCTATGTAGATCACCAATTCATGACGGTTGATAAATGGATCGATATTCTGTCTGGTCATTTCTGACCATTCCTCGAACCTGATCACATTTCCAGACCACACCATCAACGCCCAGTTGAGGATACTCTGCCAAAGACCCTTCATGTCATTTGCAGTCTGTTGGTCAATATCGCGGATATCCCCATCATCAAGATCTGGGCCAATGGCATATTTGTCCACCACCACGGTTTTACGATTGTGGAGGTAAAATCCTGTATAATGCTGACGCCGCACGATGGCACGACTCTGAGGGATACAACGGATAACCTCATGACTCTGAGGAAGGTGGAATAGCTCTGGTACATGAGGTACAATAACCTGAAAACGTCCTGGGAGCAACACGCTAGGGCATTTGGCCCATTCAAAACACGCAGAATCTTCCCACAACGCCTTGACCCTCTCAGAGCAACCCTTTCGTAACTTGTGTCTAGGCACGGCAGGAGGGAGCGGAGTACTGTACTCGTTCGTGGCGTCGATGGTAACGATCCCCCACAGGCCTTCCTCTACAATCCAATCCCGAAACTCTTTAATTTCCATGTCTTTGGGAGGGATCGGAGGGGCGCAGGTACGGCTACCCCCGGGAACCAGCGGAACGGCCATCTTCTCTCGCATCTTCTCGTACTCTTGCGACATGGGAGCGCTCTCGTCGTGGGCAGGATGCTCGCCAAACGGGTATTCTGGTAAGAGTGGACTGTCAGCCGTGAAAAACTCCGCAAGAATATCCCAAACCTTGGCGTCAATCTCCCCGAGAATCGAGTCTCTTGAGACGCGGGTATGTCCTTTGTTGAGCAGATTGAGCCAGAGTTGCCTGGTCGTACACATCCAGACATGATCCATGGTGTCCTGTAGGGCTCCCAACTTCTGCGCAAAGTACCACCTCATCAATTCCCTGCGAGGCTTGACTTGGGTGGTGCCATCCCGCATCTGCCCTTCTTGCTCGGGCGTCAGCTCAAATGGCTCCAAACCCTTGCCATTTCCAACCAGGCGAAATGGGGCCAAGTGCTGGCCATTCGCCGGTCCGCTTCCGGAAGGGTTGGTTTCCATCACAAAGCAAACTCTCTTTATATTCTATCAGAAGAAGAAAAAGAGAAGGAAACGCAGTGAAAACCCGTTATAATGAAGACCAGAGTGAGGGGAAATGCTGTGGTGGTGTCGGTGGTGTTGATGTTTTGCTGTTGTTGATGTTTGGATGTTTTGGATCACAGTCCGATCATAGGGAGGAGAGGGGCTCTGATGTGCGTCCACACATTTACGTATGGAAACCTTACTTCTAAGGCAGATAACGGAGGTATATTTCCAATAAACATGGCCTTAAGGTACGTATACCAAATCTGCCTAATCTAAGGTAACAAGTAGGTGGTATTGAAATTGAGACACTCGAACATTAAGCCGCTTATTCTCAAGTCAGTGGCCGATATTATCAGATTATTGAGCCCAATTTTACATCGGGGATAATACCGTATGTATTGTCACTTTATTTCTCTTTGATACTACTGAATTTCTTCAGGTTATTATCACAGAAAGTAGTCGATTAACAACGACCTTTGCGTTAGGTGTCTCATTTCTTCTGTCACTCATTTGCGTATTACTACCAAGTGAGTACCTGTAGGCAGGTAGGTACTCATTGTGTACAAAGCTCTGATAGAAATAGCTGATACCTGTGGTAAGTGGGCGTGTGTCAAGGGTTGCCGCAGGTGACAGGTGAGTTGCAAGTGAGAGACTCGTCACCATCGGTCCTCAACAGCTTCTCACTTTCGCGTCATGCAGCGACGCGTAGTCCGGATTGAATGACGCGTTTCTTTTGTCCCTAAGAAAGGTACCTGTAACTTTTCTTTCGCATTCCGGTGAGCTTTTCGCGGCGCAGTATTTTCTCTTCGCTCTCAACCTTTTTCATCCGTACATCATCACATTAACGCCCCATCCTCGATTTCTGTTTATCAACCTATCGACTTTTTCTAAACCAAAGACAACCTTCCCGATCCCGGGGTCACCCAGGTTATGTCTGGTTCGCCCTCAAACGCCTCTCCTGGCGCCCCTGGTGGCAACAGCATCCGGCCTGGTCAGGGTTATCGCCTTCTTCATGGCAGTGCTTCAAGACGCGCAGGCCGTGGAGGCAGATTTGGCAGAGACGTTACATATCTTGGTGTTTCTGCTGATGACGTGCCCCAAGTCCAGCAGGAACATCACCATCAAGCAGACACTCCAGTAATCCAACAATCTCTGGAAGAGCGACGCCAGACAGGACACTCCGCCCTAGTAATCAATGTGGAAGGCAACGCAACTATCCGGATCGACCTGGAAAGAAAGGAAGAGACACGTCAGAGGCAAGCAGAAGAAGCCCTCGGAGGAGACCAACAATCACCAGAAGAAGATACAGCCATGGGAAATGGCAGCCGAAGAGCCGCGACAACTCCTATTCCCAAGGCATCAAGTGGAGAAGGCGTTACATTGAAGCAAATGGCCGAGTCAATGGCTCAGATACAACATCAGATGAAGCAAATGCAACAGCAGCTCTCCGCCGTCCAGGCTTATGTCGAGCCTGCACCCCCTCCTCGAAGCGTTTTCAGTTCTTCTAGATCCACGCGGGATAATTGGAGAAGTCGTGAAATTCCTGACAAAGATCAAACTGCCACGACGAGACCTGAGTCTCCTAGCGATGTCCAGGTACAAGAGAGATCCGGAAATACGCGCTACTCCCCGCGCCTCACTCGAGGCTCTCCGGAGCACCGTCCCTACCGCCGTGGTCCGCCCGTCAATCGATTCGAGCCTCTCGCTCCGCCGAAATTCCAAGCTGCGACTGTTTCAGCTTCGCCAACTAGCCAAGCCACATTTGAAGAGCAAATTGCTTTTGCCGATTCTGTTAGCGACATCACTCAGTGGTAATGCTCTGTCGCAACGGCCACCCAGTTATCTATTTCCGCGCTCCATCGCCCTCTAACAGCCGATGAGCAGGAGCAGGCGGCATAGATGAGCTGTAAGATGACCGGTACCAACAATGGTGTGAAGATCATATAGCCACACCGCAGACCGCAGGGAAGCTGGTGCTCCTCCATGGAAGAGATCCGGAGCTGGTGGATTGTTTACACATGGATCGTGACGTCCAGGCCAGTCGCTATTAAGTAGCTAGCTCTCATAGAGAAAAGAATTCCACGCCGTCTTTTCGTGTATAATGCCTTTTTTTAAATCATGGATCACTTTCATCACAAGTCTTTCATGTTTGTAGGCCATAATGATTGTATATTTAAGTCGACCAGCCCCACGAAAGTTGAAAATTGCAAGCTTGGACTTTTCAATCAAACCACTCCTTGTAACGTTCATTAGGGCTTGGAGTGCTTGGCAGTCTGCATAGTAGACTTCGTCTCTCTGTTCCTTACACGCGCTAAAGGCTCGACTTGCGTGTTTGGGTATTTCTCTGTGCATTCTTTGCACAAATGAGTGAGTGGTGTTAAATAATTTTAGTTGGATTGCGAGCTGGCGAAAAGCGCGATCATCAAAAACTTATAATTCGACTACATTAAACCAGAAAGTTATTCCTTTGCCACAAATTCATTATCAGTTAGTTAGGTATCTTATCTCATTGACGTCACTACCTGAACATATGCACATCATAATTTTGCCTGCATTTACCGTTAGGTCTTGTGGTGAAACATGGCTGGTTGCCAAGCATATGTATAGGGTAAGTAGGTGATCAGAAAACCCAACGTCAGCAAATTGGGCTCGGAGCAGGAGTGAAATCATCAACTCCTCATCTCCAACACAAAAAGAAAACATTCTTTTCTGATACCGTACCAGTCTCCTTCCACCATTCCAAACATGATGCCCAAGGAATGGACCAGTCGTATTGAAGGTCTGGCTGCAGGCATATGTGACCCTGCAAAGTTCATCTCGATACATCACCTGCAGGCGCCCGAGTCTATCGCGAGGAACTTGGCCGCAGTGGCTGCAGTTTTGATTTTGGGCGACTGGGAGGGTGTCACACTATATTATGGCACTCATAAAAATGAGCAAAAACAAACACATTCCATGCTTAAAGCTTTGATAGGAAGTTCCGACTTCGACGTACGTGCCGTGGATTACGCTACGTTGACGCGCAGCATCAAGACAACCCCATTTGAAGCGACCACGAATTTGGTGATTATACTCGAAGCAGACGCCGACATGTCTATCGAATATGCTCACTGTATCGTCACCATATCCCAGAAGCTAAGAGGCCTGGATCTCGATAGCTCCGACGGACAAGGAGGAATGCGGCTGCTCACAGTCTCCCGCGACTCGTTCGATGATCGGTTACGAAAGCTCCTGTCCATCGGCGATAAACAGTACCAACGGGTACCACGAGAAGGGCAAATATATCGATTCGACTTTCCAGAGCAGTGTATTATCGAGGAGGGACCCCTGCAAGGTCTACCTAGGCACTTGGAGGTACGCAAACCTACTGCCAATGCTGGCGATAACCTGCGATCGATCACCCCGCGGCTCATCGAGGTCCAACCCGAAAGCAACGATATTTGGCTTGAGGCTGCCGCGCAAATTTCCAGTTCGAACAAGAAGATGCACCTCATAGTGTGCTTTGAGCCATGGCCAGACATGGCCAGAGCTGTAGATGCCGTTGGCAAAATGACTACTTTCGGGTGCTTTGAACCAGGGCCAATCTTTCAAGGTGCGGGGTCTAGTACCTATGAAACCTTGGCAGCTCGTTTTTCAGACTGGCTACATATCGTAGCCGACATGCAGAACACTTCGGGCAGCGACGCGCTACAGGGAGAGAATGATGAAGAAAAGCACGTTTTCCTGGCACTGGTTCGGGACGGGATGGTGCCATCCTTCGAAGTGGTATATGCAGGCTGCGAGCAATCAGGGAATCAATCATGGAATTTGATCCTAATCCTAGGCAACCAGACCACAAATTCTCATTATGAAGAATCGATCCGCGATGTACATTCCGTCCAACTCCAGGGCGGTATCATTGAATGGTGGGATCAACTCAGCTGGCTCACAGCTGTCCCAGGCGACGCTGTTGTGATCGACCGATATGGCTGGGCATTGGAAGCCGCCAAAGCATGGAGGGAGAGAGGTACCGGCTACTACATCGACCGAAACGACAAAGGTTTGCAGTATCGGCGAGTGGGTTCATCTGAAATAGAGGGAAGTCGTCTGGCTGATTTCCTTGTGTTGCTGGCAACCGAGCGCAAAGAGAGAGCAATCCCCAGCCATGAAGTCCAAGCCATTATATCCTCACTGGTAGCTCAGCGACGGCCTTGGCGCCGGGTCATGGCTCAGCTGGTATACCAGCGGGTTCTGGCTGCGAATGAGCCAGAAACTCTGAGCGATGTGAGCACCGAGAATCCCGGACGTCTTGATATGATGGGTCTACCGCGAATTGATATGGATGGCCCAGGTAGATTGTTGTCAAAAGTTAGGCTGCTACGCAATGCCAACTATGACTACAGGCTCGCAGTCCTACTCAGTGCGCAGCCAACAGATCCCAATGCAGAGCTTTGCAAGACTCTTCTCGGTGCTTCCATCTTGAGTGGCATCGATAGGTTATTGGTTGATGAGTTTGGCGAACTGGATCAATTGGCAAGGGGAGGCCCATTGACCGAGTACGATGTTGAGGGCCTCGCTAAATCGGCGACTGGGATCCTATCTGAGATCGCAAGCTTCGGGACATGGTGGCTCAAGATCGGCCTTTGGCACAGAGTCACCTGGTCATCAGGTCAAATGACGAGTCTCCTCTTCAGTGATCTCCCGCGGCCTGAAAGGTACGGGGAGGATCTGCCCAACGGCAAGCGGTGCGAAGGGTTGTTTCCCGTGAGCTACGACATGATGACCATGGTGAACGCGCTGGATAGTGTCCAGGCCTGGTTACAATTTGGCGAGCAACCAGCCCCAGACAAGTGGCCACTTGCAACCCCGGGCATACCAAAACCGTCCTTGAACCTGTTCTATAGGCAGCTCACAAGCGCATTCATCCTTGATTTGGTAGAATGTCGTTTCTTCAAGGAGGACGGGATGGATTACATCCACGTGATAAAGGTGCATGGTGGTCTTGTGATGGAACCCAAGTGGGGATACATCTCGTCCATGATAGCCAATATACTGAGAGCAAAACGTACCAACTTCATATTCGGAATAGTCCCAACGACACCAACTCAAGTTATTCTCGATGGAGGCAAAGAGGTTCATTCGTTTGATGAATGGATTTGGATTCCGACTCGATGTGTCAATGACTGGAATCAACGTCATCATCCAAACGATTAAGTCTTGGCTGGACTCGTCGATCTTGTGTAAACATAGCAAGTGGAAGAAAAAAAATTCTCGGCCGATGGCTAAGAAAATGATGTTAGCGTCGGAATAGTTGAAAATTCATGTAGTAGATAGTTGTGTCGAACTTTCATCAACTGGTTAACCCACCGGCTGTCTTCGATTGTGGCCACCCTCATTACACGTTTTTTTTTTCGGGCAGTTCTGGTATGTTTGACGATATTCAACAAGACATGGACCTTTAGTGCATTCTTAGTTCGTTGAGAAGCCTTTATAGTGACCCGTGGATGCTTAGTGAATCTAGCTTGGTTGCGCGGTCCTAGCCACCTTGGCACAGCATTATTCTTTGTCACGGGTATTGATGTATTCACGAAATAACTTTCTAATGGGCTTATCCATTTAAGACTACGAAACTATATTAAGTCTCAGTCCAATGTCTCGTAGCATGATAAAGGTCCTCTAATCCTTCACGTTCGTTGAGGCATGGCCTCAATTTGGTCTCGAAGTGATGGTTGGTTTCTCAACCTCCCACTATCTCAATGCTTTTCACCAATTAGTGTCGCTCAATCGAGAGAATGGAAGGGAGTATTACATGTATTGTATCGCAGCAAGCAGGGAAGCCACCTCCATCGCAAACACCACCTTGGTTTGAACAATCGATAGGCTGAGGCGCGGCGTAGATGCCGACGGCGAATGACGCCACAATGAGGGAGATTTGGAGAAAGACGTTCATAATGTCACGGAGAGAATGAATTGTGTTTGTGTGATAATAGAGAAAGTAGTTGAATCGCTGGAGAACTGTTCCGCTTTTTGTCGACAAAGGGCAGCTTTTATATCTAAAGGAGTCGGCGTACCTCTTTTATTCAGAGTGTCATGTTGCTGTCGATCAACTGCCGGGTTGTATGGGGCGGGATGATTTGATGCAGCTGATGTCAAACGACAATCCAAAAGCGGTATTCATCAATGGCTTCATTCACGGAATTCCGGATGCGACCAGGAAGCTTCCCATGTAGCGTTCGTTAAAAGAACCAATCATGACATAGAGTTGCTAGTCTCAGCATGCTGGGGAACCCCAAAACTAGCGCTTTGACAACTCACCTTTTGTACCATTATCCTGACTGCACGAATCTCATCAATTACGGTTCATCTCTTTGAATAGGAGTCCTTTCTGAATAAAGTAAGAGCACTAACGTACCGCATTTCAAAGCCATATATGCCATCTCGACGAAACGCATTCAGAGAGCTGTACATTTGGATTGGGTGAGGCTTAACCAACGATATGGAATTGCCTCTCTGTGCCTCGCAATATCCTTCATTGTCGGCCGTAGCTCCGACATCCTGGTGACTTTCCAACTACCGACTACGGAAGGATGGCAATCTAACTCGCACACTTTAGCATCTAAAAAGCTAATAATTTGCTTCAGGAGAGGGCCGACTTATCCGAGCTTCGGGGCATGCGTCTCACGGTACGTATATTGACCAATGGCAGCATTTCATCTCTGGCAACTCTCCGAAAAAAATAGCACCAGGGGTAGATGAGGTACCTAATGATGGTTTGAAATAGCATTATTTTCGGCGAATACGAGATGTTCCAGTCGAACGGCCTTTTCGTGTCTTGGAATGCGGCTCAGCACAGCAATCATGCAGCTACCTTGAGCCACCTTCAGAACGGGGGGTCCTTGACAAAATAAGTTTCGGATTGTCTATACTGGGGATACCAGAGTTTGAGCAACAACGAACTTGCAACGACAGGCACTGAACAGATCAAGGCTAGACGCAATCCCCAGTTTATCACAAAAGCCATCTGTAAACTGCGATACTAACATCTATATACGAAAAGGCCCGATATCATGTCTGTTGGTGGCATTACCTTCGCGGGTGAAACGCCGCTGAGAAAGTCGAAACTTGAGAGCAGCACCCATGAGTTGCCGTTGGGGTCGGTTGTCGCGCCGGAGAAGGTGAGTTGGGCGAAGAGGGCATTCCCTCCAGGAGCAGCCGCGGAGGAGAAGGCTGATTTACGGAAGAGAAAGTGAGTATAAACGAGTGGCTTCTCGAGAGGCTGGAAGCTTCGAACAGGATGCATTCGCCTGGTCTCATGTCAGAGGTAAACTTCATCATTACATTCTAGCTTTCCAGGAAACTTGGTACACGGGTGAGCGAGAATGGCCAATGAAGACTGGTGGAAGGACAATAAGCACGATGACCACAAAGGACTTTACATGCATGATGGACAGACCCCTGAAAAGCGTCCACCACTAACGAGATCGGATTCGCCCCATATCAGGTCGTAACCTGCCGGCCTTGCCTAAAGCGACTGAACCTCGCAAAGAAACTCTACTTACGGTAATGCCCCCAGCATGCTATCTTTGGAGCTGAAGGCGCAGCTCTGGGATGACCACTCGGGATGTTAAGAACGCGGAGTGCCGCATTCTTACTGATACACGCTCCTGGTGATGCGGGAGTCGGTGGAAAATAGCGCGCACTTTGAGCGCATTCGCGGGAAGTTCAAAGTCCGCCGTCCTGCGACTGACCACAGCACTCATATCACTTCGCTCATCAGTCCATCAGTTTGAGATTCAACAATCCACCATGGAAAGAGGATCGGCAGCGGGCGAGAGCAGAAGTCGGACAGACGGAGGGGTTGGCACCCCGAGAAATCGGGTCCTGTCTTGTGTAAATTGCCGCCAGAGGAAGATTTTCTGCACCAAGGATATCCCTTGTGGAAACTGCATCAAGGTCAGTCATTCTCTCTCCACCACACTGAGTCTGGGGCAGGTGACACCAATTTTTACCTCTCGTGATCGAGTTCCTGCACTATCCTGCTTATATTTGAACGAGTGACGCTGAGAGGAGAGGAACAGAACAACATCCCTTGCATACCCTCCAAGCCGGCGCCCTCAAGGCCTAGGCATAGATCTACCGCTCAGGATATACGGGAACGCCTTGCCAAATGTGAAACATTGCTTCAAGAATACGCTACGGTGGATGAAAGTGCCAAAAGTCGTTCCGGGCAGGAAGGTCCTACCAATCCCAATAACGACATCCCACCAGCCAACAGCGAAGCAATTAGCGAATCAGCGGGGAAGCATGTTGATGGCGGTTTGTGGGTGACTCTTAACGATGAGGTATTTGCCCTTCAAGCTGCATCACAAGCTTTTGAAGCTGACCAACAATACAGATAAGTAAAATGAAGAGCCTTGTGGACCAGGATCAGACAGAGGGTGCTTTCAGCGAAGAAGATGCATCTGATGATTTCTCACGCTATCAACCAACGATGGCCACTGATTTTCCTACCCTCGACCCGATCACGGCATTCAAGTTGTGGCAGATATATCTCGAGCGCGTAAATCCACTGCTCAAGATAATACATGCTCCCACCGCTCAATCCTTGATTGTCTCTGCAACAGCCGACATCAAATTGGCTCCGCTGGATCAACAAGCACTGGTGTACAGTATTTTCGGGCTGGCTGTATCAGCGCTGAGAAGTGACGAAATCACGGACATACTGGGTGCGGGAAAACAGCGAGAGGACTTCCTCCAAGAAGTTCTTACCGCAGTCAGCGTTTCCCTGGCGCATTTTGGCTCCTTTGGCCGGTACAACATGGCTGTCGTGCAAGCCCTGATACATGCCTCTGTAAGTGATCATCGCTGTTCCGTGGCAAATATAAGCGGCTGACTGTGAAGATCATTCTCATGGGCCAATGCAACAAACATGCCGCATGGGTTCTATTGGGTGCACTGGTGCGGATTGCCATGAGCATGGGCTATCATCGTGATGGCACACATCTGTCACTTTCGCCCTTTGAAACAGAAATGCGCCGGCGCATTTGGTGGCAGATTGTCTTTTACGACATCAAACTAGGCGTCGACTCTGGTTTAACCAACAGCTCCGTGCCCGAGCATTTTGACACCAAACGTCCTCTCAACCTCAATGATGCAGACCTGTTCCCCGATGCCACAGAAACGCTGGCGCACAAAGAGGGACCTACGGAGATGGCGTTTGCCCTTGTCATGACTCGGGTAGCAGCGTATCTACTCGACAAGAAGGCTCGTCGGGCTATGGAGGCGAACATTCTTGGCCATGGCGGAGGCATGCATGCTTCCTTCTTGGATCATAATCGGCTTCTCGTTCAACAGCTTGACGCTGACCTTGCGGAAATCGAAAGAAGGTTCATCTCATCCGCTCCAAGTAAAATCCACGCGGCAGCCTTAGGGATTCGCCCGCATCTCATCAAACGACTGTACGATATGGCGCATCCCATGCAAGAATTATCAGATTTGGGTGCTGGCGTTTCATCTTCTCGTGACAGCCTCTTCAAACTCATTCTCTCCAGCTGCGAAAACGCGACCAACTCGTATGAGTCGATGGATCGATGGGGCTTTGCGTGGTATGTCAGGTTGCATTTCAACTTTGATATCCTCGCCTCTCTCGCCACATTTTTATACCATAGTCCCACGAATGCCTTGGCCGATCGTGGCTGGGCCGTTCTCGAGTCCCTTTACGCCAGGCACTCCCTGCTAGACACTCATAGGCCGAATGCCGCCGTCACTCCGTCGCAATTCATCCTAAAGGCCTTTGGCGAGCGGGAGCGTGTCTTCGCCGAAATGGGACACATTGTCGAGGTTCCCGAACTCATTGCCGCTCTCCGGCAGATGACTCAACTCCACACTGTGACTCCTCCAGCTCCAACCAATGCTAACCCTTGGACTGCTTTCGAGGCGACTTCGGGCGACTTTATGCACGTCGATGGCATGCAGAGGTCGGAAAGCTTCATGCCGCAGGCCGAAGCAGGCGAAGGGCTCAGTGAGAGGTACGAATTCTGGCCTGGGGGTTTGTGGAATGCGGATTGGGGACAAGGCTATGGAGAACCGACTTCGGATTGAGCTGATGCGTCTGACAGAAAGCAACTACAGAGAGCCACCCATGAGCTTATTATGGATTAGTCAGAGCGAGTTAAGGAGTGAGAGAGACGGGATATGAAACCTTGCCTTGAATCGCACAATACCGTTTGGTCAGTGGTCGTTGCTTCTGATGGGAGTGCATAATGAGTTGTGGAAACTCAAAACGTACATTAAATATATTTTAGACCTAGGATCGAGGCCTAGGATAAAATTCATGTATTTCTTTCTTGCTGCCCATGTTCAAACTGTTTTCCACGTTATGGCTAGTTGGTACGACGATGGCTTCACTCACGTCGCGTCTCAAACGCGTCGACCAATGCCGCGTGTTTTCAGTACAGGCTGTTAGGGCTCAAGGAACATCGGAAGCCCTTGTGCCACCAAACTGGTTCACTGCTGGGAGAGCCAAAGCCGCTGTTAGTGAAGTGAATACCTGAGGCAGAAGCCGGCGGCCAACTGTCGGGTTTCACCAACTGCTCACCTCTGGCAGAAAACTCTGCACAGGTACCTATAATGTTTGTTTGCTTCGTTGACCGCTTTCAAATTCTCTTTCTCATCATCTGTTTCTTTCTTTCGTCTCTCTTCTTCCAATTTCTCTTCTCCTCCCAACCACCACATCTTGACACCAGACCTGTGCAACAACAACGAAAACACTGCTCATGGCGTTAACCTGTGCAAATCACAGCCAGGAAGGCGAATGCTGCCTCAAGCCCGCTCCATTGTCTTGCAAAAGCTGCCGCCTGGTCTCTGTGAGTCTCCAATCAAGTCTAACATACCTACATCAAGGGACCACTCTGACTCACGTTTCGTAGTACTGCGGCTCTGAATGTCAGAAGGAGCACTGGGCCTTCCACAAAAAAGACTGCAAATCCGCTGTGATGAGCGAGACCTGGAAGCCAGCCTGGACAATCGAGAACCGCACGCCGCATTTCGTGCAGGAAGGCGGCAAGTCTTTCGAATTCGGTGGTACCAAGCACTTTTGGGGAATACGCCCGCCATCGACGTCTTGAGACTGGACAAGAACGAGGGGGTAGATTATGATGAAGAGTTGAATCTGCTCTTTGCTGGTAAGTCTGAAGAAGCACTTCTACGACCGCACGACTCGAGACTAATCGACATGTATTTGCCATTAGCATCCGGAGACTTGAGAAACGTCATCAAAACCATCACGTCTCTTCCAGACTCGTTCGACGATGAGTTGTCTGTCGTACTGAATGACAAAGACTTCGATGTTTTTGCCCGAAATGTGATCATGCTGCTTCTATGCCTAGTCATCGATGATCCAGAGGAAGCGGCCAGCGCCATCACCCACATATGGTACTCCAGCCTTATCCAGGAGTGTCATTTGAACCTCCTCCAGGAGAAGATCCGTCCCAGGATTGCCATGGTATGCGCAAGGATTGAAAGCAACTCCGAAGAAGCTCTTCAGACGATCTGGGAGTTCGAGACCAGCACCCTGCAAGTGACCTTGTCAAATGGCGATTGGAAACGGCTGCTCAACTTCCTCGAGGTACCGGCTGGACTGACTGTAGATCGGGCCAATGAAATTCGCACCGCCGTCACTCTTGCTAAAGAGTGCCGGGACTTTAGGGACCGCAAGTATTTGACAATGCTTCGCGCAGACCGTCTCGCTGAGGAACGATTTCGTGAGGATGGCATCATAGTGCCGTTCGGTGGTAGTCGAAAGCCATACACGGTCCCTAACCCGTGAGTTCTAAACTGCTCACAGCACAGAGAGACCTTCCACTGTCGGATTCCAACTAACAGCACTGCAGGACCATGTTCCAGAACCCCCAGTGGCCCTTGCCATATACCGCGAACCCCTTGCACGGCTGGGACATGTATGAACTCTCAGCAAAGTCGTCCTCGCCAGCCACTTCAGACCGGTATGGGATCCTTCAGGCTCATGTCCAGGCTCTACTGCAGCAATTCCACTCGCGACTCAGGACCCATTATTGCTCTTTTCAACTCTGGAATATGAATGCCACGGATCTGCCAGGTTATCTTAAGAAGGGTTCATTTGCACGAATCGAGGTATGTATTCCAACTACGACACTTCGGTCACTAAGACTAATGGGGTTCTAGATGGCAAACATCTGTGACGTTTCGTATCTGGGCTGCGCAAGATCTTTGCTTGATCTCAGTCCTCTGCTACAGCAGCCTTCCGAGAACCCGCATGCCACCATCATCATGCTATTCATGAATGCGGTCCGTGAAAAGTTCACAACGGAGGATGAACTTCAGGAACTCTTAGGGCTAGTCCCTGTGCTTTCGTTGGCAGGTTTCGTGCGCCAGCCTCGACCTGGTTTAGACCCGCCGTACGGCCCCGATTTCATGCTTTTAATCAGAGCCCTCGGGTTCTATATGGACCTAGAAACCTATTTTGACCGGTATGTGCAGCAGTGCATCTCAAACTCGTCGATGTAGTGATGCTAACAGTCATCGGTGAACCACAGGTATATCAAGGATCAACGTTTCGATATGTTCGGATCCCTCTGCGGCATGGAGATGAAAGAAGCTCACACGATTGTGGACAAGTGGCTTCGGGCCCCGAAACTCCGACCAGGACAGCCTGGATCGCGACGGGAGTTCGAGATGCTTGTCCAGTCCGACCATGGGGGACACGAACGATACGTCGAGTGGAAGGCGGTTGGATCTTCGATGCTTGCGACGCTGATGAGCATGTCTTTGGGGGGATAGACCTGTAGTGATTGCTTCAGTGCAGTCATTTGCAAAAGCTTCAACGGGGGTGTATCAAATAGCTTGATTCACTGACAATAATTTGCAATAGCGGGTTATTGTTTCGGTGTATTTGTTCACAATAAACTGTTCAATGATCGGTATTCTCCGTTAGATCCGCGAGACTGCGACAGATTATGTCTTGATATACGAGAATAACTTGCACTCATATCCATATATCTAGCAACATCACCTGGAGTTCTCGAACTTGAATCTTGATCCATAATGATCATCTGGAAGCTTGGAGCTCCCATTTCCATAGAATCTTTCCCGCATCGTGCCTGATTCACCAGCAGGCGCGTAAAGACCTCGCCGTCGAAGCTCAGGGACCAGCAACTCTACCACATCCTCCCACGTCCCCGGTGTCGTAATGTGGCCGACATTAAACCCATCGATGTCCGCCACCTCTATCCATCTCTCCATCTCATCTGCAATCTCTTCAGCTGTACCTACCGGCACGGGCCCAGAAGCACCCAATGCGACCGCCTTTCCGATGTTTCGGGGTGTCCATTTGGGTACCCCATCGCCACTATACGACAAGATGCCCAAGTGAGACTCTATCCGACTGTTTGAGGACCCAACATCGGCAGCCGTGATCTCGGTATCCAAGTCGAACTTGCTCAAGTCCAAGTGTGTAGTCCCGCACCAGTATACCAGTCCGCCCTCCTCGCTGGCGTATTTGAGCGCCTCATTGTACTTCTCTTCCGCTTGGGTTTTATCTTTTCCTATAATAGGGGTCATTGATGCAAATATTTTGACTGAATCGGGTTGACGGCCATTCTCAACCAACTTATCCCTAATAGCCTTTACTCTGGGTGCGATCATTTCCGGTGTGAAGCCAACAACGAAAATACCTTCGGCGTGTCTAGCTCCGAACTCGATCCCCGTGCTTCAATCGAAACTTAGCCAAATTCATTTGGAGAGGCGTTGAGGGTTCGAACTCACGGCGATGTTCCAGCCTGGAACAGAAAAGGGGTCCGCTGAGGGCTGGGGTCAAGAATATGCGGCGCGTCAACTTTGAAGTACTTTCCATCGTGATGAATGGTTTTGATTCTGTCGAATATGGCGTATATTTCCTTTTCACGATCCTCTACCAGGGCATCATCGGCCCAAGATCCTTCCCATAATCTAGCCATCGCATCAGAGGTTAGACCTTTCCATTAGAACTCATGACACAACGTGTATGCCCACAACAGAGGACCTCATTGAAAACTTACTTGTAGACAACCTCCATAAATTCATCCGCTATTTCGTATCTCTTATCATGCTCGATAGGATCAATTCCAATCTATAGATATTGTCAGCATCCTGCGACGGAATCTGTGTAGAGCAATCACGAACAGCCTTGAAACCAGACGCCTTCCAAGATGTCACAATATTCCACCCAAATCGACCACCCGTGAGATGATCAAGCGTAGAAAACCTCTTGGCAAGCACGTAAGGACTATCAAACGAGGTTGATGACGTGATAGCAAACCCCAGGTTCTTGGTAACCGCAGCCATGGCAGACACGGGAATGACAGGGTCTCCCATCGGATACTGAATAGCTGTGCGCACACACGGTTCCGCAGTACCTTTGTAGACATCGGACCAGCCAAAGGTATCAGCAAGGAAGATGGCATTGAAGTCTCCCTTTTCGAGGATCTTCGCTAGGTCGGTCCAGTAAGTGAGGTCACGGCGCTTGTCAGCGGATCGATCCTTGGGATTGCGCCACTGGCCGAAGGACATGTGTCCAACGGTAAACTGGTCGAATGCATTGAAGATGATTTTCTTCTTAGGTTTTGTTTGAGAAGTCATTGTGAATACTAACGATAGATAGCAGGAAATATGTCGAGCACTGTAATCCAATCACAATCCCTATATCGAATACCGTTGTTGTCTTGTGCGTCAATATATAAATCAATCTGCGCACGCACACGTGGGTAAAATTCCGAACATCAACAAGGACTGAAATCTTAATTAACTCCACGTGAATATAGGCACGTCATGATGGAGAAAGATGAGGCGAGTTCCCAGATACCGGGGTCATCCAGCACAAAATCCGCCGACTCCAAAGGAAAACACATTTACCGACACCTTGGCATCGAGACTAGTTCACGATGACCACGGGAAATCTGGAAATAATCGCGGCTTTAAAGAACATTTTCATTAATCAGGCAGGCCATCGCGTAACAGGCAAGTTATATCGGATGGTCTTTGGCTAGGTGAGCACGCCATTCTGGAGCGAGATGAGGTATCCAACGACCCATGAACATACACCGAGAGGCAGGTTAGGTAAGGGTCCAGATATCGGAGGAGAATATAGCTTAGCCGTTACCAAATCCATCCTTGAAACGGTGAGTAATTGTCTAGTTTAGTTTCCCAGCTCTTGGTCGGGGGCCTGTCACCCCTGGTTGATAGAATAAGTCGTCATCAGCAATTTGTTTAGCGCCTCAAACGCAAGGATTCATACATATACCATCGAAGACCCATCAATGTACGCCTATCTCCGCTAATCTATCCATCCGACCAGTTTTCCAGTACTGCTTTCTCCCATCGCATCGTCCTCTGGATAGCAAAGATGGCTTCAAAATCCGGGCTCGATACTGTTGACAATGGTTCAGATTTAGTCGAGGAAGTCAACAAGTCCCCTACGAAAGTCCAAGAGCTGAACAAAGCGGATTCAGATGATGAAGAGGCTCGTAGAGAATTTCTCTCCCGCTTCACTGCTGAGGATGACCACAGGATCATGAGAAAAGTCGATTGGAGATTCTTGCCTCTGATCGGTTTCATGTATCTCGTCAAACAGATCGATTTCTCCAACGCTGCTTCCATCAAGGTCTTGCAGCCAGGCGAATCAAGAAACGTTTTGACTGAGTTGAACATGTCTGCTGACCAGTATAACTGGGTACAAACCGTTTACTACGTTCGTCTCCCCATATTCCCCACGATTATGCGAGTACTAACTTCTACATTGTACAGATCGCCTACGTCCTTTTCGAAATTCCAAGCACATTGGTACTCAAAAAAGCCACGCCTCGAAAGTGGCAAAGTCGAATCTTCTTGACCTGGGGCATCGTGGTCGCCTGCCACGCGGCCATCCAAAACGCGGCCGGCTTCTATGCTCTCCGTTTCCTCTTAGGTGCTATGGAAGCCGGATTCTTCCCTTGTTTGGCAGCTCAGATGTGCAGTTGGTACCGAAGCGACGAGTACGGAAGACCTATTATGTGGATGTTTGGATTTCAAAACTTTTCAGGGATCATCGGAAGCTTGTTGACATACGGCATCTCATACATGAACGGTGTTGGAGGTTTGAGTGCTTGGAGATGGTAAGTTATTCCCACACCACCGGACCTTTGAATCGTGTTCAATACTTACGAATTCATTCATAGGGTGTTCCTTCTAGAAGGGCTTACGACAATATTGTTCGCCGGAGTTATCTACTACGTCCTTCCTGATTATCCTAAATCTCCCAGATCAAGCCGCTGGCTCACTCCCGACGAGCAACAATATCTCGAATATCGTCTGACAGAAAATGCGCCAAAGACTGATGATGCCGTTTTTGACAAATCCGAAATCATTGCGTCTCTAAAAGATCCTAAGCTCATTGGATTTACATTGTCTCAATTTTTCCTAAACATTGCTGGCTACGGACTAAGTTGGCAGTTGCCGACAATCACCACCTCACTCGGCTTCGCTGGTCTGCCCCGGAATCAACTTCTCAATATCCCGCCTGCTGCCGCGACTGTCATCGGAATCATACTTGCTGCGTGGTTTTTGCGACGGGCATATGTCGCCCGACCTATTTTCATCCACGCCCTCAGTGCCGGGATTCTTGCCTTCTTCATCGTCCTCTGCATCCCTGTAAGCAACGGCGCCGTCTACGCTGCAGTTGTTCTCGGAAACGCATTTTACTTCGTCTTCTTCGTACCCTTCTGGGCTTGGAGATCTGCTACGCTTGTCGGGACTACGGGAACAGCATTCACATTGGCTTTGCAGACATCAGTTGCTCAGGTTGGTGGTGTCATTGCACCTCAGTTGTTCCAGTCCAAGTACGCATACAATGGCTACAAGACATCATTCATCATCTGCACAGTCTCTGTAGCTATAGCCATCTTATCCAACATATGGCTCACATACTTGACTTGGACGGTGGAGCAAGATACCAAAGACGTGAGAAGAGAACGCATTCGTGCTGAGCGAGAGGGCAAAGTTTATACAGGCGAAGACGTCAAGCTTCGTCACTGATACCATTTCTTCTTGCATAGGAGGACATGTTAAAGGACTGTCAGACAGCCTAAGCAAGTTGATGTTATGTTGTGACAAACATCGGCTGTTGAGTATTCTATGCCGTAAATGAAACCCTCATTAAAGAGTCAACAGCTAGAAAAATTATATCATAGACCTTGGAGTTTGCATCATTACTAAATACTTTCATTTTAGAATAGATTTACCATCACTACATGTGTATGAATTCAGGACCGCAATAGAGCTATTGCGTTAGACTTTTTTATTTTGGGCTCTATCTGAATATTCTTTTAGATGAGGGTGAAGAACTTCTTGATGCCTGCCCATTGTTCCGCACCAGAAGGAACAATGTGAGAAGCAGCGAGAACGAAACCATTGCTGGCAGACGAGCTGGGGCGCAGCTCAATAGACCATGAGTACTCGGCACCAGCAACAGCGTAGGCCCAGTCCAAGCTACCACCGTTGGCCTGGTAGATCGTGGAGCAGGTAGGACCGTAAGTAAAGCTGAGGCCGTTCACGCCACGGATGGCGGTCGCGACACTGCCGGCAGCGGACATTTGGGCATCGTGGTTAGCAGCGCGAGCAGAGCAGCTGTATCCGAACGGCAGAAGGATCAGCTGACTGTAAGAGTGCCAGTCGTTGTAGAACTTGATGCCCTTGCTAGATGATAGGCCTGTCAGGTGAGCTACCAGAGCCTTGTTCTCGGGGGTGTCGCCTTGTGCGAGACCGCGGTAGGTTTCAGCGCAGGCATTCGTTGAGGAACCGGAGCCGGACCATTGGTAAGGCCAGTTTCGGTTGATGTCGGTGCCGACACAGGACACTCCAGATCGAGTTTGCCTGTTCTTGCGCCAAAGTCTTTCAGTGGTTTGGGTGTAAACAAAGCCTAGACAACAGTATCAGTATACTCTCTGTATGATAAGAGAAGCTTATTTCGTCTTCTTACCATCGGGATTGACAACAGGAATGATGTAGAAGTCATAGTTGTTCAACGCGGCAACTGTGGTGGCATCCGAGCCTAGATACTCCTCGACAATCTTGTACGCAAGGTACTCAACAGTCTGTACATGAAATTAGCAGCCTATCAGATTATGCGATTAAGGGGATTCTCTTACCGTGGTGGTAATCCATTCACGGGCATGGACTGTGCCGTGCCACACGATAGCAGGCTTTGAGCCCTTGCCTCCACTTCCCCAGAGGTGAATACCTCGGATAGCGCGGCCTTCGAACGAGTTGCCAACTGTGAAGACCTCCGAGTTGCTTGGGAACGCTGCTTGCAAATCCGTGAGGAATGTTCCGTGCTCGGCGAATGTGTGATATGCGTTGAAGTATGAAATAGGAGGGATGGCAGCAATAGTGTCCTTAGTCTTGAGCGTAGCTAGACATAGGAATTGGTCAGACAACACGTCAAAGAGGTAGCCGGAGGCAAAAATTACTCACACTCGTAAACCTCGAACTTCTCCTCCTCAAACGTCGAGGCAAGATCCTCCTCAATCAATGTAGCGTCAAGTCCGAGAGCATGGAAGTCCTCAAGCTTCTCGGGAGCAATGGCAACATTGACGGCGCTGTACGCCCCATCAATATGGAGAGTGATGGAGCCAAGGTCTGCCAAGGCGGTTTCAATAGCCGGGTAAGAGTCATGGCTCTCAACGCGAAACACCTGGTATCCTTCATACGTGACCTTGGCAGCCACAAGAGGCAGCAGAGCTGCGAGAGTGGCAAATACCTTCATGGCGGTGTAACTTGTACAGTCTCTCTGGATCTCAACGGGTACAATGAAGCTATTCCAAAGCACTGAGTGGAAACCAACAAAACAGGCGTCTTGGATGGGCGGCCAGCTTTTTATACCTTTCTGAGACAGTGGCCACGATGGGAATGATGGCCTAGACTTTGGGGTTAACGGCGTGCTCGCCAACCCGCATTGTGCGATCTGTTTAGTACTTGCTTCTTTCAGCCACAGTAATCATGCGTCGAGTTACACTGGAACTTTTTGAAAGTGCGCCTTTTAGCTGATAACGCAACACGACCTGCCAAATGCCCAAGTGATGACAGAATGCGCAGTACGAAAGGTACAATGAGGAACACGCCACCTTCTTGATACAGCCATGGCCGCTAGAGCAGTTGTACATGAGCCCAAGTTCTTTTCAACTGGTCATTCATTGCCAAGCAAACTCGGCACTTTACCTGCCCGGTTGGGATTAGGTGTATTACGCTCCCGGCATAACCAGCCTGGGAATTCCTCTCCGCAAAGTACTTCATTGGCACCTACCCGTAAAGTGTCTCGGTGATCTTTCCTAGACTTACTTACGGCAGGAGGTCATGGCATTCGATTTGACTACTACGATTCTGGTTGGGACTGGGCAGCTTCTCCGGAGCCATCATTACCCACATCTCTCTGGCTCCCTTGTTCGATCGATACCCTTAAAGGCAATATGACAAAAGTGCCGAGGCGTTCCCATGTACCCGGCAGACATAACTCTATTTTCCTTAATTCTCAATTAAATTGACTCGCTGTGCCAGCAGTAAAACGCTCTACCACTAAAAAATGCGTCAGGGTGATACTCCAAGTGGAA